CCTGCCAGATTATTGCATTCTTAGGGATTATAGGTTACTTTTGTATCAAGGAACATTATTACAGAGAAAATGTTAAGTTATATTATGTGTAATACATTTTTATGCTTTGCTGCTGAGTTCTGAATTGGCCAACTGAGAGAAAACAATGGCTTGTGTTCATTGTTTACTTTTGTAATCATTGTAGAAAAACATTCTGTGGCCAGTGTGTGTTTGATGTCTGCTTTCTATTTCTCATGTTATTTCTACTTATCCCAACCCGGACCCATTCCACAAAGAAATCATAGTCCTACAACTATTCTAGTTTGTGTGTAAGTATGGGAGGTCTGATCATGTTAGTCCTGTGATTGTTTTGTGGAACATAGACTACCATACCCAGGATTGATATCAATCAACTGGAGGGAGACATGTTCATTGGAGAGCAAGCCCTATTACTGTACTTTATGGTAGGGTCGTAACTGATGGTTTATATTCCTGCCTGGGGCGTGCATCAGGAAGACAGTCAACTCATGAATAACATTTAACATGTCACAGGCCTTGCATGTCTGTCAGTAGGAGAAGGGTGTACATGGTGGATACTCCATGCACAAAGGGAGATAGAGGAGAAGTAGTGGCTGATCTCAAGGAGTTATGTTGGTACTGCTGAAGGAAGACTGAGGCAGAGATAGTTGTCATTGACATTAGGTAAGGCTGAGGTAGAGGTAGGTGTCACAGACGAGGTAAGACTGAGGTAGAGACACTGACGAGTAAGACTGAGGTAGAGGTAGTTGTCACTGACATTAGGTAAGGCTGAGGTAGAGGTAGGTGTCACTGACGAGGTAAGACTGAGGTAGAGGTAGGTGTCACTGACATTAGGTAAGACTGAGGTAGAGATAGTTGTCACTGACATTAGGTAAGGCTGAGGTAGAGATAGGTGTCACTGACATTAGGTAAGACTGAGGTAGAGGTAGTTGTCACTGACATTAGGTAAGGCTGAGGTAGAGGTAGGTGTCACTGACATTAGGTAAGACTGAGGAAGAGATAGTTGTCACTGACGAGGTAACACTGAGGTAGAGGTAGTTGTCACTGACATTAGGTAAGGCTGAGATAAAGATAGTTGTCACTGACATTAGGTAAGGCTGAGGTAGAGATAGTTGTCTGAGAGTAAGACTGAGGTAGAGGTAGTTGTCACTGACATTAGGTAAGACTGAGGTAGAGATCGTTGTCACTGACATTAGGTAAGACTGAGGTAGAGATAGTTGTCACTGACAAGGTGTAAGACTGAGGTAGAGATAGTTGTCACTGACATTAGGTAAGTCTGAGGTAGAGATAGTTGTCACTGACATTAGGTAAGGCTGAGGTAGAGATAGTTGTCACTGACATTAGGTAAGACTGAGGTAGAGGTAGTTGTCACTGACATTAGGTAAGACTGAGGTAGAGATAGTTGTCACTGACATTAGGTAAGACTGAGGTAGAGATAGTTGTCACTGACATTAGGTAAGACTGAGGTAGAGATAGTTGTCACTGACATTAGGTAAGGCTGAGGTAGAGATAGCTGCTGAGGTAGAGATAGAGATTGTCACTGACATTAGGTAAGACTGAGGTAGAGATAGTTGTCACTGACATTATGTAAGGCTGAGGTAGAGATAGGTGTCACTGACATGAGGTAAGACTGAGGTAGAGATAGTTGTCACTGACATTAGGTAAGACTGAGGTAGAGATAGTTGTCACTGACATATTGTAAGACTGAGGTAGAGATTGGTGTCACTGACATTAGGTAAGACTGAGAGATAGGTGTCACTGACATTAGAGATACTGAGGTGGAGATGGGTGTCACTGACATTAGGTAAGGCTGAGGTAGAGGTAGGTGTCACTGACATTAGGTAAGACTGAGGTAGAGGTAGGTGTCACTGACATTAGGTAAGGCTGAGGTAGAGATAGGTGTCACTGACATTAGGTAAGGCTGAGGTGGAGGTAGGTGTCACTGACATTAGGTAAGGCTGAGGTAGAGATAGGTGTCACTGACATTAGGTAAGGCTGAGGTAGAGATAGGTGTCACTGACATTAGGTAAGGCTGAGGTAGAGATAGGTGTCACTGACATTAGGTAAGGCTGAGGTAGAGATAGTTGTCACTGACATTAGGTAAGGCTGAGGTAGAGATAGTTGTCACTGACATTAGGTAAGGCTGAGGTAGAGATAGTTGTCACTGACATTAGGTAAGGCTGAGGTAGAGATAGGTGTCACTGACATTAGGTAAGGCTGAGGTAGAGATAGTTGTCACTGACATTAGGTAAGACTGAGGTAGAGGTAGGTGTCACTGACATTAGGTAAGGCTGAGGTAGAGATAGGTGTCACTGACATTAGGTAAGGCTGAGGTAGAGATAGTTGTCACTGACATTAGAAGGAGAGCTGAGGTAGAGATAGTAGACATTAGGTGTCACTGACATTAGGTAAGGCTGAGGTAGAGATAGTTGTCACTGACATTAGGTGAGACTGAGGTAGAGATCACTGACATTAGGTAAGGCTGAGATAAAGGTAGTTGTCACTGACATTAGGTAAGGCTGAGGTAGAGGATAGTTGTCACTGACATTAGGTAAGGCTGAGGTAGAGATAGTTGTCACTGACATTAGGTAAGGCTGAGGTAGAGAGGTGTCACTGACATGAGGTAAGGCTCACTGACATTAGGTAAGGCTGAGGTAGAGATATAGGTGTCACTGACATTAGGTGAGGTAGAGATAGGTGTCACTGAGGTACTGACATTAGAAGGCTGAGGTAGAGATAGGTGTCACTGACATTAGGTAAGGTAAGGCTGAGGTAGAGATAGTTGTCACTGACATTAGGTAAGGCTGAGGTAGAGATAGGTGTCACTGACATTAGGTAAGGCTGAGGTAGAGATAGGTGTCACTGACATTAGGTAAGGCTGAGGTAGAGATAGTTGTCACTGACATTAGGTAAGGCTGAGGTAGAGATAGTTGTCACTGACATTAGGTAAGGCTGAGGTAGAGATAGGTGTCACTGACATTAGGTAAAGCTGAGGTAGAGATAGGTGTCACTGACATTAGGTAAGACTTAAGAGACTTAAGTCCAGTATAAATAGTATATATATAATCAGACCATCACATTGTCAAATAAATATTCACGTGAAGCCTCTGGCAAGATTCTGATAGCATCAGACATTTAATGATGGCAAGGATAATATTCTTCACAGGATCCCAAATCTGGCAGTTGACCTGTTAGCGACTATCTTCAATCTTGAAAGAATGTTTTGCGAACACACATTGAAGTGTGGTTAGATATATTCTTCAGAGTTTAATTGTTTTTGTCATATGAGATGGGTTGTACCACCACAGTAAGTATATACTTATCTTGTAGCCAATATTAGATATCTCAGTGACTTTGATATTTGATCAGGCTATAGTTGAGATGTATGTTTAACTGTGAAGACTAGCCTTGGGTTTTTGCTTTGAGGACAAGTACTGTCTTTTCTAACGAGAGGGATAGACTTACGGTTTTACTGTGAAGAATAGTCTTGACGTTTTTGAGAACTTTTCCCTGAGATTTTCACTATGAGGACCAGCCCTGGGATTTTCATTTTTAGGACTAGCCCTGAGGTTTGTATTGTGTAAACTAGCCCTGAGGTTTTCATTGTGTGGACTAGCCTTGAGGTTTTCATTGTGTGGACTTTTCCCTGAGATTTTCATTGTGTGGATTAGCCCTGAGGTTTTTATTGTGTGAACTAGCCATGAGGTTTTCACTATGTGGATTAGCCATGAGGTTTTCATTGTGTGGACTAGCCATGAGGTTTTCACTATGTGGACTAGCCATGAGGTTTTCACTATGTGGACTAGCCCTGAGGTTTTCACTGTGTGGACTAGCCATGAGGTTTTCACTATGTGGACTAGCCATGAGGTTTTCACTATGTGGACTAGCCCTGAGGTTTTCACTATGTGGACTAGCCCTGAGGTTTTCACTATGTGGACTAGCCCTGAGGTTTTCACTATGTGGACTAGCCATGAGGTTTTCACTATGTGGACTAGCCCTGAGGTTTTCACTGTCAGGACTAGCCATGAGGTTTTCACTATGTGGACTAGCCATGAGGTTTTCACTGTCAGGACTAGCCATGAGGTTTTCACTATGTGGACTAGCCCTGAGGTTTTCACTGTCAGGACTGGCCATGAGGTTTTTACTATGTGGACTAGCCATGAGGTTTTCACTATGTGGACTAGCCATGAGGTTTTCACTATGTGGACTAGCCATGAGGTTTTCACTATGTGGACTAGCCATGAGGTTTTCACTGTCAGGACTGGCCATGAGGTTTTTACTCGGAGGACTGGCCATGAGGTTTTCACTATCAGGACCAACCCATGAAGACCAGTCCAGACTGGATTATTTTACAGACCGCTGCCATATAGCTGTAATATTGCTGAGTGTGGCGTAAAACTAGACTCACCCACTCACTAGCCCTGAGGTAGTGCCGGGTATGTTGTGCACACATCATACACTCTGTACAGGGGGGCAGGTTGATGGTCTAGGAATGCCACAACAATCATAATCCTCTTGCTATGCTACGTGAGAATGATTCCTGTTGCTATGCACTGCTGTGAAGTGTAATAATTAGGGCTGGGACGGGTAACCCGGAATGGGTGGGTGATGAGTTGGTCCCGGCTACCCGTCTCAATACCTGTACCCGTTATGATCATGTGACTATTAGATTAAACAATGTTACTCTTTCATGATTAAAAGGTTGTATTGTCTTTGAAGATTTAGACATAATTTACTGTCGCTTCTTTTGAATAAAATTCATGGTTAAGTTATTGAAAAACTCAAAATTGTAGCCCCCAAACTCAAGAATGTATTGCCATTTCTTGCAAATTTGATGTCAAGAATTAACATAATGGGTATCCGGGTAGGGTAAGGTAATAGGGGGTGGGGTACCCTAGTAGAAAATTTGGACCTGTCCCAGCCTTAGTAATAATGATCCCTTTTGTTCACCCTGCTTAAGTTCACTGTCAATGGTGTTGCAGGCTGATGTCGGAAAGGAACTCCCGGGATGCTAGCTGTGTCACAGACATAGAAGGGCTGTTGGGAGCGCAGATGGATGGAAAGATCCAACAGTTTGAAGCTGAGAAGACAAAACTATACCAACAGACACAGGTAAAATACATAATTTTGAATGAATTTTACCCATGTTGGGAATTGAACCGGGGTGTTAGGGGTGATGAGCAATTTCTTTAACTGCTAAGCTACCCATTGCATCATATAAACAAGTATGATGTAGAGTTTATACTGTTGAACAGACTTAGGTGTGCTTACAATGGTATGGTTGGTTGGTTGGTTGTTTAATGCAGCACTCAACGATATTCCAGCTTTAAGGCGGCAGTCTGTAAATAATCGAATCTGGACCAAACAATCCAGTGATCAACGGCAAGAGCATCGATCTACGCAATTGGGATAAGATGACATGTGTCAACCCAGTCAGCGAGCCTGACCACCCGATCCCATTAGTCGCCTCTTACGTCAAGCATGGGTTACTGAAGATCAATTCTAACCTGGATCTTCATGGGAATGGAGAATCTGTACACAGAGTGAATGAGATAGGATCAAACAAAACTACCGGATAATTCCAGTTAAAGCCAGGAACACTAAGAATAAGATTATGACTGATTGGAATCTTTCATGAGTTGATGGTAAGCAGGAGGTGTGTATGTAGCAGGGCGTGGAGGCATCCCACAGATGACATCCTTACCTTGTTGGCTGACTGAGTTTGGTTTTACGCCGCTTTTAGCAATATTCCAGCAACATCACGGCGGGGGACACCAGAAATGGGCTTCACACATTGTACCCATGTGGGGATTCGAACCTGGGTCTTCGGCGTGACGAGCCAACACTTTAACAACTAGGCTACCCCACCGCCCCCTTACCTTGTCAGCTTGCTGACGGGGTTAACCTCTTTGGTCATGTGGACAAGGAATCTGACTTAGGATCATAAGGTCCCTGGTTCGAATCCTGGCACTGGATTCGAAAATTTAATGGCCGCTACAGTTGATTGATGATGGTATTTGAACCTACACTGAAAGATCAGTCCTGATTGTTATGAATAAGTTGTCTATCCTTATACCTTAACCTTGCTTAGTACCACAACATCTAAATGCCACTCAAAGAAGTTTAGTGTGGTGTGGTAGTTTTCTCTGGAAGTGCAAGAATTATTAAAAGCTTTAATCTTGTTAACCATTCATTTAGAAACATAAAAATACATGAGAAGATAAGGTGAAAATACATGAGAAGATGAGGTACAGTTAGAATGTTATGGATGTGTTTTAGGAGATGGAGAGACTGAGAGAAGATATTGAGAGAGGACAACAGGAGCTGGAAGAAAAACGAAGGAAGTTTGAGGAGGAGCGAGATACAGAACTGGATCGTATTGAGTTTGAAAAGTTTAGATTGCAAGATATGGAGCACAAGGAGAGGTGAGGTGATATAGAATGGACTACTGAAATTGACAATGATAGTGTCAATGAATGAGTAGGGATTTTTACTGCCTTTTAGCAATGTTCCAGCAATATCATGGTGAGGACACAAAAGTTTGGCTTCACACATTGTACCCACATGGGTAGTAGAACCCGGGTCTTCTGCATAATTAGCGATTATTCTTGTTCATCCATTATTGAGAATATTGTGATATGACATCATCCATTGTTCATAACGTCACAATGTGATCATGATACATCATCAGTGGTGAGTCATTTGCCAAAGGTTCTTGTTATTTAACATTCTTCCATTATAAATGATCCTCCATAATTCCTGGAAGATATTTTTGGCTACACCAAACTGTGGCACTTTCACCAATTGACCTGGGATGCTTCATTATCTGAACTAAATACAGCCCAGTTACTGATACTCACTGAATTGGCGTTGTTCAGGATCAACAGCCTGGTGGAGCAGGAGGTGAAGCGGCGTCTGTTTGAGGAGAAAGTGGAGAGAGACAGACTCAGGAAGATAGACAAGGAGAATGAGAGGATAGAGAGAGAGAAGGAGATTCTCAGACTCAAGGCAGCTCATAGCAGGGAACTCAAGCAGCTTCGAGCCAAGCTAGAAAAGTAGGTGACCAAACAGTTAGTGAAGGTCAGATATACTGATCAAGGTCAGTTCAGCCTCTCTGAGCCGTGTTGATAAACATGCTGAATGTGAATCTGTCTGCAATGAGAAGGATTTCATTTTGTTAAACTCACTGACTTTGAAATAAGTTTGAATCAGTATTAAATATATTTTCCAGTATGTTAAATGTATTTGATTGAGTCTATGTATTGTGTGCCTCGTGTAAATAGGTAAGAATGGAGTCTATACCATTGTGCAGTATGGAAGAAATCTTCAGGAGAGTTGTATCTTGATGTGTTTTGCTTCCAGTAATGGCATGGGAAGAGTGTCAACACCCACAAGGTCTAACCCTTACACGTCAACTATGGTAAGCAGATCTCAGATCTCAAATGCAATCTTGATGGGATAGTATATGAGAAAGGAATGACACAATAAAAACAATTGTCATTATCTGTGTTTATGAAAGATTATAGATAAGATATCAAAGTATATTTCATTGTTTACTTCATTGTCAGTTGTTTGATGTTCAAGAGGATGTATATTTCTCTTGATATTTTTCTTTAGCATAACAGTTCTTCTAAAGATATTTGAATAATTCCTGGTAATATTGTAAGTTAATAATGATCTCTTTTTATCTCTCGTCAGTCTTTGAACAACAATATATCCAGCCCAGACCAGTCGCCGCGTAGGATGGTGAGTTGCCTACTGACTCACTTGTCACTGTTGGAACACAATACCTGTACATATCTATCATTAGGTTTACAGAAGGTTCATATTTCCCGACCCTGTGGTAGATGTAAACAGAACAGGTTTCAGGACCATGTGCATGTTAAAGAAGATGTATGTTTGACCTGACCGAATGCATGTCATTTTGCCCTACCTTGAATTGTTACTCTTAGTATCAACCATCAGTTGACAAGTCTGGAATATTTTCATCAAACTTGATGCAGCTGACTATTGCCTGATGTTGTGTCACGCTCTTATAATTCCAGAGTCAGACCAGTGGGTCGTCAAGTTCCGGAAGCTTCTCGAGTCCTTCATCTCGCATCTATATCAGTATACCCACGTTCACCTTGAGGGGTCATGGGAGTGACGCACATCATGAATATGAGGTCAAGGTCAGTGTTATCAAGTAATTTAGCATTGTCATTTTGATTACCACTTAGAAATTTCAAAGTAGTTGTTTCATTTTTCTTTTGTAATATTTGGAAAACAAGATTTCAAGATGTAGAATAAATTGAATTAAGTTAGAAATAACTATGGCTTGTGAAGCAGTAAGAGATCCATGAAGCTGTGTACTTAACAAGGATCATGTTGTTGTGTAAAGGATCTTCATGAAATTAAGTGATATTATAATTATTTTTTCATCATCATTATTTTCTCCTTGTTGTTGTACAGGTCAGTGTTGGTGAGGACACTTGGACAATATTCCGGCGGTACAGTCGTTTTAGAGATCTGTATCAGATAATGAAGAAGAAATACCCAGAGGTAGGAAACAAGGGGAAACTCAGTCAACAAAATATATACCAAAACAGCTCTTAGGTGGTCCAATGTTTAATGTTCAGATAACTTGATAGTGTTTAGATAAATGAGCATAATGTCCTTTTGTCTATGACTTGTAACTGTTTGTCTTCATTTGTTAATGAACATAGATAGGACACTGTTTTATTCAGTATCTATTCCTTGCAGAAAAAAACATGGTGTCAGAAAAAGCATTTATTCATATGGGTCAGTTGAATCATAAGGAGTCTTCAGAGATGTCAAATGCTGTCATTTTAATGGCAAAATAATTTAAAATAATTTCACACACATGAAAATATGGATAGAACATTTAAGGCCTGATCCCTACTTGTATTCCTCTCCAGACCAGTATACTAGTGTTCCCACCTCGCAAGATGTTCAGCAAGTCAGAGAAGGTAGTGGCCGAGAGACGGGTGCAGCTAGAGGTGAGATATCCTTTATAATCACTTCATGTACCTGGTATTGCCATCTCATCTGATTTAGTCAGATCTGCCCAGTCTCATTTGCCTCACAGGTTCTACCCCAATTCTGGAGTGAGTGAGTTTAGTTTTATGCCGCACTCAGCAATATTCCAGCTATGTGTCGGCAGTCTGTAAATAATCGAGTCTGGACCAGACAGTCCAGTGATGAAAAGCATGAGCTTCGATCTACGCAATTGGGAACCGATGACATGTGTCAACCAAGTCAGTGAAGCCTGACCACCCAATCCTGTTAGTTGCCTCTTACGACAAGCATGGGTTACTGAAGACCTGTTCTAACCCAGATCATCAAGGTTCGAGTTGAGTCTTGAACGTGCCTCTATGAGATGAACTCCCTATATATGAGGGAATAACCCTACCTATGGAAACTACCCTATATAGGGGAACTGCCCTACAAGTGGGAACTACCCTACCTCTCAAAACTACCCTATATGTGGTACCTACTGGTACCCTAGGTGTGTAAACTACCCTATATGTGGTAGCTACTGGACCTACCCTATATGTGGAAACTACCCTATATGTGGTAGTTACTGGTACCCTAGGTGTGGAAACTACCCTATATGTGGTAGCTACTGGTACCCTAGGTGTGGAAACTACCCTATATGTGGTAGCTACTGGTACCCTAGGTGTGGAAACTACCCTATATGTGGTAGCTACTGGTACCCTAGGTTTGTGGAAACTACCCTATATGTGGTAGCTACTGGTACCCTAGGTTTGGAAACTACCCTATATGTGGTAGCTACTGGCACTACCCTATATGTGGTAGCTACTGGTACCCTAGGTTTGGAAACTACCCTATATGTGGTAGCTACTGGTACCCTAGGTGTGGAAACTACCCTATATGTGGTAGCTACTGCTACCCTAGGTGTGGAAACTACCCTATAGAAATATTAATCATGGATCTGAATCCCGTCAGCCTTGTTTACGTTTGATTACTTGGTATAAAGATCCCTGAGGCACTGATGAGTAGTGTGAAGGGAAATGTAGTCATTCAAACCATGCATATTTTTCGATTCCAGATTGCTAAAATGTTTTTGCATATTTTTTTTCTGCAGCAATACTTGAAAAACCTGATAGAAGTGTGTATGAGATCTGCGAACACACCTCTCCACCCAACAAACAACAAGCACATGACTAAACTCATCTTGTGTGACTTTGATCCGTTCTTCAGGAAAGGACTGTTTGAGACAGCTAAACACTGCACAGCATGATGAACTGCCTCATCAACCAATCCAGGCAGTGTTTACAAAGTGTTATGGGTATTTGTTGCCAAGCAACTGCCCCAGCAACTATCTTAGAACTGTCTGTGCTTTTATTAAATATAGTGCTGGTGCTTTCGTTACATCTAGAGTTATTATCATGCAGCATTTATTTACGTCTATTCTCAACTTAAACCACTAAGTGATGGATGTTATAAAACTTGTGTTAGGATTGTTAAACAATGTCCATTGAATTTTTCTGTATTTTTTACTAAATTTGAAAGCTATGTAGGGATTATTTGTAATTGAGTTAATGGAATGATTATTTATTTTGTATACAGTAAATATAGTACCGGTAACTACTTAATATCAGTAAAGATATACAATTGCAGGTGGCTGGTCCCAGTGGCATATCCCCCTATCCCATGATACTTTTTAAATGTATTACCAATGATAATAACATGTTGATTTTGTTGTTAATGTGAAAAAACATTGTTTACATTATATTTGCATTTTGTGATGTGATATTTTGGGGGTGTTTTTTGGATGGCTTCTTCTTCTCTCTCTTGGCCCATTAAAGCTGCCAACTCAACTGAAAGTGCAAATAGTTTAAGTGGGACCCCTCCTATTTAATAACTCCTGGATCTGCCCCTGGGTACATGTCAGTAATGCATACAGATATACAGTTGATGTAACCAGGTGATTATGGGATATATCACTCAGTCAGTATTTAACAACTTTTCATTTATAATATTTTAATTCAAGATATATTTTAAATGTTGTATTTAAACGAACTTATTTATAGCTAAGCATTCTTTCAAGAAACTGAAGAACTTGGCATATATGGCAGTTTGTGAATATTTTATTATTATGTACATACTGAAGGGATGTGAATTTTACATAAATTTAGATTGTATAGATTCTGTAAATTTATTGTTTCTTGATATGCATGTTTTTGAGATTTCGTTGTACAAAGGTAAATTGTGTATATATAAATGCATTCCATGACAGATATGCTGGTTTCTATGCTCTGTTTCTGTCTGATGAAATTAAAATGCTTGAAATTTTGCGATGGTAGTTCTTTAACTTTAGCCAGCAATAGTGCCTGCTCTGCACTTATGAGAGTTGGTATGTACACCGGCTTTGTCAAAGACAGTACAACACCAGAATGGGCTAGTGGTTAATATTAGGAGCAGGTACCCCCTGACTTCACCTAATCCAATATTGACACCTCGAGTACAGGGGTCCTCACATCCAGATCACCACAGGTACATGGTGACAGGCCATTGGTGGGGGTAGTACGTTCCACAGATACCATTTCGTCTGATATGTTGGGAGCCACAACTCCTATATGTTCAAAGTTTTCGAGCCCTACTATTTCACTGGATAAGTTGGGAGTTTGGTTTCAAACACTGGTCACATCTCCTACATTTTCGAAGTTTGAGCTCTGCTATTTCACTGGATAAGTTGGGAGTTTGGTTTCAATACTGGCCTCAACTCCTGCTTTGCCCCAGACATGATAGTACTGACATGCCAGTGGTACAGGGTCTGTGGAGTTGGTGGGCTCGTCTCGTGAACATCCCCACATGGGTACAATGTGTGAAACTCATTTCTGGTGTCCAGTGCAGTGATATTGCTGGAATTTTGCTAAAAGCGGCGTAAAACCACACTCACTGACTCACTCACTCTCAGTGAACTGTCTTGGTAACAGGGCCTGGCCAGTTTGTAACAAGTTGATACCATAGTGGTAGGACATCAACATGGCTGGTGATGGCTGCCTGGGAGGCAGATACAAGCATCACAGATACTGGTTACAATGATGATGTGTGGCAGTGCAGGGCAAGGCCCATCTTGTACAAAATCTCATTAGACGACTTTCTGTAACATCTGTCTTTCAGTGTGCACATTTGTGTTGTAAATTGTTTAACATTGTTGCTATGTAGGCCTATGTCTTTCATGCTTCTGCCTTTTTAATTACTTGGTTTACAGATTTGGTTGAACCTAAACAAAGTAATTAAAGAATAGTGTGTTGGAAGCTTTCAGCTCAACTGTCCATGTTTGTTACAGGGAGATTATTGTTAAAGAATCTTATCTTGATCTCAGCCCAGTAATCAGCGTCAAGATTCTTTTTGAAGCGTTGTGACCCTTAGGCCATATATAAAAATATTCTTGTTTCGCATTATCGCCCGACCCAAAAATTTGATCTGACCCTAAGATTTTATGATTTTTGACTCTATAGAAAATGCAGCTCTTGACTCAAAATGTGCCTGAATTTTTCACACTTCTAAATTTTGATTTTCTATCGGAAAAAAGGTGTAAATTTCCACAGACATCAAGGGGTTTTGGACTATAAAATAAAAAAAAATGTAAAAATATACTCCGCCCACCGGCGCATATTTTTGTTGTTGTAAAAAGTGACGAGAAACAAGAATATTGTTTATGTGGCCTTAGCTCCACCAGGACCCTCTGATTGGGATTTCTGGATCCATGACACACAGCACCACACCAACGCTTATAGGATTCACAGAAGTGGTATTTATATGATGGTTTTTAACACCACATTGGGCTTTCTCTAACCTGACGTTATTATATATACAGTGGAAGCTGTCAAAACTGGCAGTTGTCCAATCCGGCAAGTTGTCAACACCGGCATAACATCTCAGTCCCGTCTGTGGCTAGTGCAATTATCATCATTTAAAAGCTCTGCAATCCGGCAGCTGTCAATTCTGGATCTCGGCATGAAATGAGCCGCCCGAATATGGGGTTATACTGCAATCAGCGCTGTCTAATCCGGCGCGTGGCGAGGATTTGGCTGGATGCGTATTGTCACCAATTAATCCTGCATTGTAACAACATGGTTGTCGACAAAGACATTTTAATCTTAGTTCAGCATGGGTATACTTGTACATGTAGGTTGACATGTTTTATTGTGATAGAACAATGTATATGAGAGTGACAAAGCTTGTTCACTTCTAGTCGGAAGTAACCGTGTCATCTGTACAATCCGGCACGCTGTCTAAACCGGATTATTTCTGTAGTCCCGACAGCTTCCACTGTATATTGTATCCAGTGTACACTGATGTCTTGCTAACAGGATATATCAGCACTGGCTGCCTTCGTTGTTTCAGTTTGTTTGGGTAGATAAAGGATGAAGCTTGGTGTTTTCATTTTCTTAGAAAGAGCACATTTACAGCTGTCACTACCATTATACAGCTTTGTAATGTTCAGGACCCCGTTTAACAAAGCTATCGTCACGCTACGACTGTCATAAGTCTATGTTACAGTATAGGAGGTACAGCAGTCGCAGCACTGAGATAGCTTTGTGAAATGGGGCCCAGACCTTTTGATGAGATATTTTGTAAAATAGAATGATGGGATTGTTATTTTATGGCAAACATTTATCATGAAAGGAAACTATTTTTTTGTTTGCACTCAATACATAGCATTTTCCTTTAGGGATTGGTCACATGAGGACATGGGTCAGGGTTTAGTAATACACTATTGTACTAAAAGTAATGCCCTTCATCTGCTGCTTGTATTGTTTTATATGACCCTCCTTGATCGCTGCCAAATTGCTGATGCAGTGTTAAAGCAATATTCACTCACTCATGTTGAAAAATCTTGTCATAAACCTCTTTGAAAAAAAACATTATGCAAAAGCACATTATATTTCAATATTGTCATCAAAACAATAACAATATCCCAAATATTTGTACTTATTTTTAACCCAATCTTGCACCATTACCTGCTATAATAAACAACCAGCCTGTTATATACCCTGTGAAACATATTTCCCGGATTAAGAATAAATATCAATGAAGGACACTTTAAAGTTTAATCAAATATTTTCATCTTTACAGTATGTGAATTGCTGATGTGCAATTGTTGTTCAAATTTAAGCAACTCTTACGCTATTGTTATCAGTTGGCATTGTGTGGACACTATGATGGTTTCGTAGACTGCAGTTCTTACGTTTTGATGATGAGTGCTATATTCTGTTTTGTTGTGCTTTATTAGAGTATTGTCAGTCATTTCCCAGAGCTTGGTTTGTACAACTGATGGATCATAGGTGTTTTAACAGTCACTTTATTTAGCTTCAGAATACTGACAAAATGGCAGCTTGAATCAAGTTTTGCAATTACTTGTAACTTCTCACCAGTGTTTTATTTCTCTTTGGATATATTTAAGTCCTGTTCAAGCTTCATTGAACATTAAGTAAGGTTTCTCAGGCAATGTTGATTGATAAATCCACACATTTAGAACAAAGTCCTACAAAAAGATGGAATATGAACTTCTCAAAAGAGGTTTACAGACAACCAATTCTTTCATACTAGTGTATACAGAATGACTACTGTTAAGTACTGGTAGTAGTATTAATATGTCCTTCATAAAGTAATTGTCACAAACTTAACTGCATGAGAGTCAATAATCCTTAATGAAAGTATCCCAATGTACTATTCTCTTGAGGACTGGTTTACATGTGAATAATCCACATTTCTAACAAAAGGAACAGCTAGTCAGTACAAATATGGCTGTCATTATCCTGTATTTTGGATGAACTTCTGTCCGTGGAAGACATGCATACAGAAATGTTTGGAAATGTGTTGGTGCTCATGAGCACTGCTGAAAGGACACACAGGTCCCGATGTTTCCACTTACAGAAATCCTGGTTAAGTGTATTTGTACAGCTATCTCTGGTCACCACTGTCAGTACCACACTGTGCCTTGTTACTCCATGTACACAATCAGTTGTCCATTTTATAATAAAGTTTTCATTCCACAGTGCATATTGTGTTGGCTATGTTTGATTCAGACATTAATATCCATCTTCTTTCAAACAAATTCGAAATGAGACAAATTCTAGGAAAGTATCACAAAATAATTTATTATGTTTGTGTGTGAAGATGTAACCTCCATTCAATCAATATGGAGATGCAGGAGAATCGGGAACAATGCCAGACTATACACAAGAGAAGCTGGAACTGAAACAGAAGTGGTTATCACGAGTGAAGGGAACATCTAACAGCAGATATGTCGTGAATAAAGTCTTGAATATGGCAGGACTTGATAAAAGTACACAGACATACTTTGCTGGGTGCCTAAGAACTGCAATGCACTGTTAATTATGTACATTGGGACTGCCTGACACCTATGACCAAGGGTCTAACTCGGATTATGGTTTTAAGCATGTCACGATCATATCTGAACCTGTTATACCAAGAAATGAAGCACTCACTCGACCATGCCAGGACAGAAGTGAAGCACTCACTCAACATCGATCTGACATGCCAGGACAGAAGTGAAGCACTCACACTCAACTCACTCAACATCTGATCTGACATGCCAGGACAGAAGTGAAGCACTCACTAACTCAACGATCTCACATGCCAGGACAAAGTGATCTGACATGCCAGGACAGAAGTGAAGCACTCACTCACTCAACAACGATCTGACATGCCAGGACAGAAGTGAAGCACTCACTCAACAACGATCTGACATGCCAGGACAGAAGTGAAGCACTCACTCAACAATGATCTGATCATGCCAGGACAGAAGTGAAGCACTCACTCTGACATGCCAGGACAGAAGTGAAGCACTCACTCACTCAACAGCGATCTGACATGCCAGGACAGAAGTGAAGCACTCACTCAACAACGATCTGACATGCCAGGACAGAAGTGAAGCACTCACTCAACAATGATCTGATCACATGATCTGACATGCCAGGACAGAAGTGAAGCACTCACTCAACAATGATCTGACATGCCAGGACAGAAGTGAAGTGATCTGACATGCCAGGACAGAAGTGAAGCACTCACTCACTCAACGATCTGACATGCCAGGACAGAAGTGAAGCACTCACTCAACAACGATCTGACATGCCAGGACAGAAGTGAAGCACTCACTCAACAACGATCTGACATGCCAGGACAGAAGTGAAGCACTCACTCAACAATGATCTGACATGCCAGGACAGAAGTGAAGCACTCACTCACTCAACGATCTGACATGCCAGGACAGAAGTGAAGCACTCACTCAACAACATCTGACATGACATGCCAGGACAGAAGTGAAGCACTCACTCACTCAACATCGATCTGACATGCCAGGACAGAAGTGAAGCACTCACTCAACAACGATCTGACATGCCAGGACAGAAGTGAAGCACTCACTCACTCAACAACGATCTGACATGCCAGGACAGAAGTGAAGCACTCACTCACTCAACGATCTGACATGCCAGGACAGAAGTGAAGCACTCACTCAACAACGATCTGACATGCCAGGACAGAAGTGAAGCACTCACTCAACAACGATCTGACATGCAGGACAAAGCGATCAACAACAATCGATCTGACATGCCAGGACAGTGAAGTCACTCAAGCACTGACATGCCAGGACAGAAGTGAAGCACTCACTCACTCAACAACGATCTGACATGCCAGGACAGAAGTGAAGCACTCACTCAACAATGATCTGACATGCCAGGACAGAAGTGAAGCACTCACTCACTCAACAACGATCTGACATGCCAGGACAGAAGTGAAGCACTCACTCAACAACGATCTGACATGCAGGACAGAAGTGAAGCACTCAACATCTGACATGCCAGGACAGAAGTGAAGCACTCACTCAACAACAACGATCTGACATGCCAGGACAGAAGTGAAGCACTCACTCACTCACAGAAGTGAACACTCACTGACATGCCAGGACAGAAGTGAAGCACTCACTCACTCAACATCGATCTGACATGCCAGGACAGAAGTGAAGCACTCACTCAAACAATGATCTGACATGCCAGGACAGAAGTGAAGCACTCACTCACTCAACAACGATCTGACATGCCAGGACAGAAGTGAAGCACTCACTCAACAACGATCTGACATGCCAGGACAGAAGTGAAGCACTCACTCAACAAAAGTGAAGCACTCACTCAACAACGATCTGACATGCCAGGACAGAAGTGAAGCACTCACTCAACAACGATCTGACATGCCAGGACAGAAGTGAAGCACTCACTCCAGGACAGAAGTGAAGCACTCACTCACTCAACGATCTGACATGCCAGGACAGAAGTGAAGCACTCACTCAACAACGATCTGACATGCCAGGACAGAAGTGAAGCACTCACTCAATGCCAGGACAACGATCTGACATGCCAGGACAGAAGTGAAGCACTCCACTCACTCAACAACGATCTGACATGCCAGGACAGAAGTGAAGCACTCACACTCAACAACGATCTGACATGCCAGGACAGAAGTGAAGCACTCACTCAACTCAACATCTGACATGCCAGGAAACACTCACTCAACAACGATCTGACATGCCAGGACAGAAGTGAAGCACTCACTCACTGATGCCAGACATGCACTCACTCAACAACGTGACATGCACTCTCACATGATCTGACATGCCAGGACAGAAGTGAAGCACTCACTCAACAACGATCTGACATGCCAGGACAGAAGTGAAGCACTCACTCAACAACGATCTGACATGCCAGGACAGAAGTGAAGCACTCACTCAACAACGATCTGACATGCCAGGACAGAAGTGAAGCACTCACTCAACAACGATCTGACATGCCAGGACAGAAGTGAAGCACTCACTCAACAACGATCTGACATGCCAGGACAGAAGTGAAGCACTCACTCAACAACGATCTGACATGCCAGGACAGAAGTGAAGCACTCACTCACTCAGAACAATCTGACATGCCAGGACAGAAGTGAAGCACTCACTCACTCACTCAACAACGATCTGACATGCCAGGACAGAACTGAACACAGCCTTGACAAAAGTGCACAATTTTCAGGTTTTGAGTCAGTCTTGTAAACCAACTGAAGAAATATTTAAGCTTGGGTTTGATTACAATCATACATCAATAAATGATAAAGAAAGATTGGCATCATCTCAGGCTATATACATGAAACACATTGACATGGTTAGTCTTTATCAAAACAAAATGATACTAATTACAATTAGTTAGTGAATGTGCATCCTCGATAATCTCCAAGCTATACATTCGGATAAATCTCCACTAGTACCCTTGATGCATCTACGATAATTGTATTACCTCCCTTTGCTGGCTCTGCCTTCTCACAGTAGCCAATCAGATAAGCCCTTACAACCGAGCCTGCCAGCCTGCCACCGTGAAGGTTTGCTCGCTGTGGGACTGTTTAGGATAAAAAGTCACACAGACAAATTGACAGGTCGGAAACCTAATAAAAATATATGCAAGAACTCCTTCTACATCTTACAGGGTACCTCTGCAACAACTGTGTTGCCAAGTTTAAATGGTTAGAAAGTGAGTTATGATAGAAGCCTTGTGATTGGTACGCTCAACCTCCCAGCATAGACACCTGATTGGATAAAGAGCAAGCAAAGGGAGGTAATACAATTATCAGGACGAGCCGTAGATGCATCCAGGGTACTAGTGGAGATTTATCAGAACGTATACCCTGGAGATTATCGAGGATATTGAATGTGTTACTTCAGACACATCAACATTGCAGCCACATCATATCAAACTGTATATAATGTTATCATTACCCATATCTCATCTTGTGATTGGACAAACTGAGAGGCAGCTGGCTGAACATGGTGGATGAATTGGCAGAAAGGGTTTACCAAAAATACATCCTTATAATGTATACACAAAGAACTTAGTTAAGCACCCCCTGACATATCTCACGATTGAATGAGCCCAGATCTTAACCCTTTGGAGCCTATCTGGGACATGATTGGTCATCGTGTGCAACAAAGGGATCCTCCTGTACAGAACCTGGCCCAATTGGAAGCTACATGAGGAATGGCGTAGACTGCCCCTTCAGAGGATCAGGAGGCTCACAGGAGGTATGAGGAGGAGAGTGTTGGCTGTCATACAGTCACATGGAGGCTACACTCGGTATTGACCTTGAATTGTGTAAGACACACAAAATGATATTTTGTGAATGTTCACATTCACCAATAAATTCAACATTAAACATTCCAGGGCCATACTTGTACAGACATGGTTTTGTATGAAAATCATTGTTATTATTAAAATGAGCAAGTATCATCATAAAACCAACATAGATTCCAATCATTTTTGTCAAAAGATCATAGGTTCAGAAAACTTTTCCACTGTGGTCACCACAAGAAGTTTTATTTGCATGTTGAAAACCTATTATTGCGAAAATACAGGGGGTGCTTAATCAAGTTCTTTGTGTATATATTCCTTGTGAACTTGGCCTAGATTTTCGAAGCTCTCTTAGCGCTAAGATAGTCGTAAGTGCCATACATTAACATTAACTTACGACTATCTTAGCTCTAAGAGAGCTTCGAAAATCTATGCCCTTGTGTCCACAGTGATTTGTATGGAGTTACAAATTTAATATTTGTGTAAGTCGTCTGACTCATGCAATTTTCTACCAACCCAGGTAAATCGCATTTTTGCATCCAGACGAAGTCTGAATAGCACAGACAAGGAGCTACGTCACTGGGTAACAGTGACATACAATCAGCCAGGTATACCATTAGCATGCAATCCTAATTCAAGTTCACGATAACAATAACTGACATGGTCTTGAGTGTGGTTTCATGACCTCTCTATATGCTTTTCTGGCTACCAAACACCCTATTGGTCATTCAAACTGGCAATATAATGGTGTACCCTTTGACCTCCAAGGATGTACACTGGTGTATTCATATACACAACCACATGCTAATCTCATCTGTATTCATGAAAGCTTTGCATTATTCAATCATACTTGTAGTAGCAGATGTGCGTTGCCATGGATACATCCAAAATAATATACAGTATGCTGAAAACAGCATAAAGAAGTCCCATGTGACCTACATCTGTGTAACAATCGTGTTCAACTTCCTCACAAGTCAAAAATTCATTATGTCGTCAAACATGAGACTAAAAGAAATTATTAATCATATTCACTAAAGTATTTCATTTGCTTCAAGGTGGTAAAAAAGCTGAACCAACAGAAGCAAGTTGCATCAACAAACTGAACAAGGAAATACTAACAGTCATTTGTGACACTGAAACCCTCACACTGGTGGCAAAATGCAATCTCTTCTGGTTGAGAATTATGCCTACAGTATTCTATGGACTATGGTCATCCCAATCAGGGTTTCAAATAATCTAGACCCCCAACTGTATCATATACTGACGACAGTCACGGCCCTGTTTCAAAAAGCGATTGTAGCGCTAAGGTGATCGTAACTCCCATCCTTTAACATAGACTTACGACAGTCGTAGCGCTACTGCTATCAGGGTAACATTGTTGCCACTCGGCAACATCCCAGCCCAAAGGTCAGCTGGTTCTACAAAACAGCCACCGGAACTGAGATGAGGAGGAGCAGCTGTGTTGCATTGTCACTGAAAGCTGAATTACCATGAGTAAGTATTCTAAATGTTAAGAAAAGAAATATGAAGAAACAATTTATACTACTCCACTTTTGATAAGGATATTTTTATCTCTTCATTAGACAAAAATGAATCTCATATTAACATGCTAAGTGTATGTTTAATAAGACCTTACAAATCTGTTATCCCTATCAAAAGTTGGGTAGTATACTTTGTTCCTGTTTACACAACTGCATATGTCACACGTTAGAAAAAAAAACGTTTTCGTTCGCCGATACACATTTTTTCAACCACACACCACTGAAGATTCCACCAAGGTCACTTCGTGCATCAGTGACCACATTGTTCGTGTAAAAGGGAACAAATGATGGCTGTGTACACATCTGCTCACGGCTGAGTCACAAGTAGAAAGCCATGACCATCACACAGCAGATCCAATACAAAAATCCAAATCGACAATAATCATGTAAGCAGTATAGAAGTGAGATCAGCTTACCCAATAAACCAAACTTTCCAGACTGCTAATTCAACACAATTAATTTCATTCAAACTCCAAGACAGTTCTCCTGAATGCCTCGTACTTCCCTGAATAAGCCTGTGGGAACACTGCACATGTTATTACTAAGTCAACACTTGGCACATTCAGTCTACGACATGGAAACAGTCCATCCATAGAAAGCATTCATCAGCCATGTATTCTCAAACAAGTCCTTCCACATGATGTGGCCATGATGTCCGGTCCCAGAGAACATGGTCCTCATGCGGTGATGATCCGAGGACGCCATGGTCCTCACGTCATGCAGGGACGGCTGTGGATCACATCCTCCTCGTCTTCATCATGCCTGGTTTTTCGTTTCAATAAACCTGCAAGATAAAAACAACATTTAACATGAGTTTTAATATTTTAAGTCCATCGGCAATATTTCAGCCATATCGTGATACTAAATTTGTAGTACATACATATAATATATAAAACTCTGTCAGCATGCAGATTATCACAGATTGAGTTGAAACTAGCTAACATATATCTTATAAATTGACGGCATGAGCTGGGTATTAAGTATATACTGAAACAGTATTCGGCATGAGCTGGGATTAAGTACTGAACAGTATTCCTGTCAACTTATAATGGGGAAAGGTTGAAGTGATCTCAGATGTTACCACTTTAGTGAAATCAACAAACACTGGATTTATATCCATTAACATAGGTTTCTGGAGTGCCCAAGAGAAGCAGCTGTGCTCAGTATATTGCAGTGCTTTAGATAACTGGTCCACCCATAACCCAAATTAACTCACACAGATCCACAAGTCACCTACCAGAGAAGGCAACATACTAGACCTTGTATTCACAACCAATTCAACCCTGATCAAGTCATCTGTGTCAATCCCTGGACTTTCAGATCATGAAGCTGTTGTCACTGATATCGACTTCAAGATAGCATACAACAAACAAAGGTGACAAAAAATCCTGAAATTCTCCAAAGCCAATTGAGAACAACTCAAAGATGACTGTGATAAGATCTCAGCTGAACTCATCGAAATGTCAAGCAAAACCACCGACATTAACAACCTATGGACTCACTTCAGAGACAATCTTTCCAGGAGTATTGACAAGAACATCCCATCAAGATTATCCAGCTCAGTTCGATCCCTCCCATGGGTCAACCGTCCTATCAAAAAATGCTTAGGAGGAAAAATCGGCTATACAAGCAAGCCAAGAAAACAAAATGTTGGACAACTACAGACACTATCAACGTGAGTGTAAGAGGGCAGTCAGGAAAGCCCAGTGGGACTACGTGAACAACATCATTGACGAAGGCATGAAGTCAAACAACACCAAACTCTTCTGGCGTCTCATCAAATCCAAGAAACAAGATAACATCGAGTCTCCCCACTGAAGGACGGAGGCAACCTGATAAGTGATACCAAACTTAAAGCCAACCTCTTATTGCGCCAGTTACAGTCTGTTTTCACTAAAGACACAACGAGTGACACAATGCCAGACATAGCAGACAAACCCATCCGACATCCACTTGAAAATATCACCATTGACAAGAACTGGATTGCTAAACTGCTTGAAAACCTCAATGCAGCTAAAGCCCCAGGTCCAGACTCCATCCCAAACACCGTCTTGAAGACATGTGCCCTAAACATAGCACCTGGTCTGAGTTGTATTTACCAGCTCTCACCCGACTCTGGTACCCTACCACCAGACTGGTTGAATGCAAATATCTCAAGTGTATATACGAAAGGAGATAAACACCAAGCAGGGAATTACAGACCAATCTCCCTCACATGCGTCTTCTGCAAGATCCTTGAGCATATCATATGTCGTAACCTCATGACCCACCTGGAGAACAACAGTATCCTGACAGATCTTAACCACGGCTTCAGAAGCGGATATTCATGTGAATCCCAACTGATTGTCACCATCCATGACTTCTTGCAATCTACAAAACTGATCAAGTGCCAGTAGAGTCCGGTGACAACCCACAATGGAACTGGCTTCCTTGGTCCACAGATCTTGTTCTTCTGGAGAGACAACATCAAGTGCGATCTGTTCCACAAGGAACTGCGTAATCTTCCTTCAGACATGACTGTTTACACAGATGACTGTTTTCTTTACCGTACCATCAACAGCCAGCAAGACCATGTCATTCTTCAACAAGACCTTGAAAATCTATCTTCATGGGCTGACTCGTGGGGAATGAAGTTCAACACCAAGAAATGCGATGTCATCAGTATGCGTGGCAGAAGTAGTCGCTACTACACGTTGGAAAACAACATCCTCCAGAAGGTGCCACAGAACCCATACCTGGGAGTAATACTGTCAGAAGATCTCAACTGGGGCCCCCACATTGACAACGTGGCCAAGAGAGCTAACTCTACACTAGGATCTTAAGAAGGAACATCAGAACCTGCCCTCCATCCAGTAAACGTACAGCCTACATATCCATGGTAAGACCAATAATGGAGTATGGATGTGTTGTCTGGGATCCCTACCAGAAGGGAAAATTTCAAATTACATAAAATAATTGTTGGCGCACTTCAATTATCAATAATAATAATAATAATAAAATAATATACTTAATAAAAATCGCCATGAATGAAAAAGACATCGATTGCTTGTACTGTTAGTATAGGACAAGTTTGTACCACCAGTATAGGATGACTCATTTTTATGCATTCACAAAGTTGGTTTTGAAAATAAGAATAAAATAAACAGAGTTATTGGTTGTAAAATGACTAGAAATACGCATATTTGAAAGCAGTGGGTAACGGAGTACCCACTCAACATTCAATGACTGGACAGAGTCACATTAGATATAATATATCTGGAGTCCTCGTGTTGTAGGCTGTTCCCTACAAGTTGGACCACAACAGAGAAAGCTAGAGTCAATTCAGCACAGCGCAAGCAGCAAGATATGTGTCCGGCAACTACACATCAAGAGAAGCAGGATGTATCACTAAGATCCTGGGGGACCTTGACCTGCCACCACTCCAGAAGAGGCGACAATACATTCGACTAGCCTACATGTACAATATTGCTGAGGGTTTAGTACCAGCTATTCCATCTGACAAGTACCTGAAGCCGAGAAGACCAGGCCGGGACATCAAAGCTACCACCTTTAAAGACCATGACGCCACCAACATCATCAACAGATATGTGTGCAACAACAACAACAGAGGCTTCCAAACACCAACTTCCAGGACCGACCAATACCGAGAATCTTTCTTCATATGAACTGTCATCGACTGGAATCAACTGCCTGACAACATTGTCAACAGTGGAAGCTTCGAGGGATTCCGACAAGCAGTCCGTTCCCGCGACTAAGATCTTTTCACGTACTCTCTCTCATCCGCTGTAATTATACCACCTTTGGTTTCTTCAAGCGTAACAATACAGATACAGATACAGAATTATGCTGTTGACTTAGGATCGGCCTATCAAAGTGGTCACTTCTTGGATGTTAGAAACAGCTCCTCTGTTTTTCACCAAGTTTGAGGTATTGAGAACAACATATTCTATTATCAGTTCACGATGGCTTTGTATTCAGTGACGTTTTACACCCAAAACGGCAATATTTGATTTTCATCAATGTGGTCTCTAAAAATATAAGCAAATACTGGAAAATAGGTGAAGATTCTAGCCATGAAATTGTTGTCATAGGCTACCTAAAACCTTAATGTTTTCAAATTTAAGTCACTGAAATTTCACTTGCCACTTTACAGATGTTTTTGTCATAATCAGTAGGTGGAAAAAAGAAAAAAAAAGCTATCATATAAAGACATTGGCTATTGTCCAGCTTCAGCTTGACAAACATCCCCCTGTGACCCACCTGTGTCTGTAGAGCTGCTGCTGGCACTGAGGCGGGCACGGTAGATAGGCTCATATTCCTGGAACACAATAAACAGTTGTAGAGATAACAGTACATATTAGTGCTGTATCAGATGAGTGCATATTCCTGGAGCACAATATACAGTTGTACAGATAACAGTACATGTTAGTGCTGTATCAGATGAGTGCATATTCCTGGAACACTACAAACAGTTGTACAGATAATACTACATGTTAGTGCCGAGTCAGATGAGTGCATATTTCTGGAACATTATAAACAGTTGTACAGATAAGACTACATGTCAGTGCTGTGTCAGATGGGCTTATTGTCCTGCATCACTGCTAACAGTTGTGAGGATAATACTATCTCAGTGCTGTGTAAGATCAGCTCATTCTCTTGCTACATCACAAACAGTTGTACAGATAATACTACATGTAAGTGCTGTGTCAGATGGGCTTATTCTCCTGCATCACTGCTAACAGTTGTGAGGATAATACTATCTGAGTGCTGTATAAGATCAGCTCATTCTCTTGCTACATCACAAACAGTTGTACACATAATACTACATGTCAGTGCTGTGTCAGATGGGCTTATTCTCCTGCATCACTGCTAACAGTTGTGAGGATAATACTATCTGAGTGCTGTATAAGATCAGCTCATTCTCTTGCTACATCACAAACAGTTGTACACATAATACTACATGTCAGTGCTGTGTCAGATGGGCTTATTCTCCTGCATCACTGCTAACAGTTGTGAGGATAATACTATCTCAGTGCTGTGTAAGATCAGCTCATTCAATGGCTTCATCACAAACAGTTGTACAGATAATACTACATGTCAGTGCTGTGTCAGATGGGCTTATTCTCCTGCATCACTGCTAACAGTTGTGAGGATAATACTATCTCAGTGCTGTGTAAGATCAGCTCATTCTCTTGCTTCATCACAAACAGTTGTACAGATAATACTACATGTCAGTGCTGTGTCAGATGGGCTTATTCTCCTGCATCACTGCTAACAGCTGTGAGGATAATACTATCTCAGTGCTGTGTAAGATCAGCTCATTCTCTTGCTTCATCACAAACAGTTGTACAGATAATACTACATGTCAGTGCTGTGTCAGATGGGCTTATTCTCCTGCATCACTGCTAACAGTTGTGAGGATAATACTATCTCAGTGCTGTGTAAGATCAGCTCATTCTCTTGCTTCATCACAAACAGTTGTACAGATAATACTACATGTCAGTGCTGTGTCAGATGGGCTTATTCTCCTGCATCACTGCTAACAGTTGTGAGGATAATACTATCTCAGTGCTGTGTAAGATCAGCTCATTCAATGGCTTCATCACAAACAGTTGTACAGATAATACTACATGTCAGTGCTGTGTCAGATGGGCTTATTCTCCTGCATCACTGCTAACAGTTGTGAGGATAATACTATCTCAGTGCTGTGTAAGATCAGCTCATTCTCTTGCTACATCACAAACAGTTGTACAGATAATACTACATGTCAGTGCCGTGTCAGATGAGCTTATTCCCCTGCATCACTGCTAACAGTTGTGAGGATAATACTATCTGAGTGCTGTGTAAGATCAGCTCATTCTCTTGCTACATCACAAACAGTTGTACAGATAATACTACATGTGTTGTCAGGATGTCTTTGTGGGGTACAAGAATTCTCATCATCACACTTACCATGAGCTGTTGAGCAAAACCTTCATTTGGGTTTATACAAAATCTGCGTTGCTGGACATAGACAAAGGCATCTCTGAAACAATTTAGGATGATGCTTATATGAAGGCTGAAGCCTCAACTCTGATTGACTGATTAGAAAGTTTAACTCACAATCTATAGAAGTTTCTGAGATGCTTCGGTGAAAGATCAAAGTCGACAGTACTTTATCAGGTGATAACATGTACTTTTTGCATTACGTCACAGTGTATTGGCGCCACTGCGCCATTCTAATCTGCCCCCTCATAATCAAACAATTTTGCATTATGTCACAATGTAAGAGACATCACAATGCATGTCAGTTGTCATCGCCTCGTACAGCCTCCTACAGTAAACTACTCCATTGCATCCCGTTTCTTGGTTTGCGGATGCTTCATGCAGCTAACACCACTGGTGGAAACATTACGTTTATGTTTTCTGACGGTTAACATGTCTCCATTCAACTCACAAGTTTTCAGCGATACGGTAACGTTCACAATGTTTACATTCCCACAACGCAATCGTGGAATGTCGCTTGACTACTCAGCTTCATCTTGATGTACTGATCTAAACTTACGTTGGTAGTAGAAATGCAACGTTTATATTGCCCCATATGGATTTACGTTAATCACAGATGTAATTAAAATAATTTAGAGAAGATATTTAATCCAAACATAAACCGTCATCAAACTATTTATCATTTGCTTTTTCTGTTAACGTTTGTCTCAACGTAGGGGGGCAGACACATCAATAGAACAGCGCCCAAGTTAGCCCTGTGCAAGGATTCTTAATTTAGGTCACAGACGCCGTCGTTTGTTTTCTGCCTTAGATTAATCATAATTATCCTTAGGAAGTATTAAATTTGGCATCTTAGAAAAGAAATACAGTTTGTTCTACCACCATGTATAGTGTAATAAAGCACACTTTCGCCCTGAACTATAACGCTTAAACCACTCAAGCGTCCTCATGCTTAACTATAATAGTTCAGGGCGAAAGTGTGCTTTATTACACTATACATGGTGGTAGAGCGAACTGTATTTCTTAAATCCTCTGCCAGAGACAGATATTGTATTTACTATGTACAGCAAACTGTGGGTATAACAAACTCAAAGGGACCACTATTTTAGTTTGTTATAACAATAATTTGTTATACACATTTCGACAAAATAGACAGCAAGTGGTAAGGAATAATAGATGCCAAATACTACATTATATCCATCAGTTTATTAAGTGTGTTTGTTATAAACATGTATGTATATTATATTTATAAAGCAAATTTCATTGCACCCATCCAGTGTGGATACAAGTCTGGGGAAACCTGCTAAGCATGGTCATCACTGCTCACCGGTATGTCAGCCCATACTTCTCCATTACAAAGGCGATGACCAAGGCCCCACTCCGAGATATGCCGGCATTGCCATGTACCAAGGCCTTGCCTCCATAGGAGAAACATTCGTCTAGAAAACACTTCACCTGCAATATTACGATAGTACCAGTGACTGCTGCTCTCTCACAGTGTAGAGGTTTAATCTGGTTGGATAGGGGCAACGTGTTCCAGCTTATCAACTGATAGTTGGATTCAACAATTAGCATCAGAGTGAGTGAAAGAGTTTAGATTTACGCCGCTTTTAGCAATATTCCAGCAATATCATGCCAGTGAGTCAGTCAGTGAGTCTAGTTTTACACCGCTTTTAGCAATATTACAGCAATATCACAGCAGGGGACACCATTGTACCCATGTGAGGAATCGAACCCCGGTGTTGGGCGTGACTAGCGAACACTTTAACCATTAGGCTACCCCACTGCCCAGCATCAGAGTACTGAGGACTGGCAGCAGGCAGTGGGTGGTCCAATTAGGTTGCACAGTATGGAGTTACATTATCAGGATTACACCCTTGGATGTCAACTTAATGAAGAAAGTGCAAGGTAATGGTGGGTACAGGTATGGTGCCAACAAACAACTAGAAAAGCTAGGAACCAATCTGAGATGAAATCCCATGATCTGCAGATGCTGGCAACATTCAGGGAAATAACTCGACACAACTAACTATGGCACTCTAAATCACTGAGCTGAACATGTCCAGTAAATACACAGGTTATGTGAAGCCTGATTATGACTTGTCTGGCACAGTTAAATGCATACCTTTCCAAAATGGCAGATGATATTCTCTGTTACTGTGTCTGCAATGTCCAACACAAGATACCTGGAACAGACCGGCCACATGACACATACAGTACAAGCAATGTCATTTGACAACCAAGGAGTTACTAGTGTTGGGAATTGGTTAAAACCTCATAATTGATGATTGGTCCATTACAACCGATCAATCATCGAAAATAATTGGTTAGCGTCATTTATCAAATGTTCCTGTTGTCTTTGTAAAAAATAAAGAAAAAACATGTAGAGTCAGTACTCCGAATACCGTACAGGCTCCTAAGTTCCGTACACTTTGATTTGTGCGCAATAGCTTATTATGTTTGCGTGTGGTATCGCCTTACCGTTGTCGCTTGAAATGAGGTAATTCCCAACTCTATTTTTAGCTATCGTGTGTATTTGTCATGCGCTTTCTCTTCGAGATACGATTGGTTATCACGTTGTGCACTTGCGCAATAGCCACTCTCTCCACTTCTTGTCGGGTTGACGTCAAGGTCACTATCCGAGACTCTCTACGCGCTACACCTAAAAGCGTGAAATTCAAACATCACTCACGGCACGAAAACCTGAAATAATGTATTTGAGCTGTCCAGAAATGTAATCTTCAAACACAGTGACCGGTTTCGTACAGGTTACTTTTAAAAGTAACACAGAATGAGGCGTACGATATTTGATGCCCAAATTATTATATTTTTGGCTATGCTCCTTATTTCGTACAGTGACATTTTATTTTTTCCCATGTCATATTTACTCATATCAAACATTTGCATAGGCACTGATAAACAGTGAATATTACATATAGACATATAATAGAATAATATAAGTGTATATGGCCGTTGTTGAAGTCCATTTCTTACTTATTGCAGGGAGACGCTTATTGTAAGAAAAGTATTTATCGTTGATATTAGCCTGTGCTACCTTGAGGGTTTTTTAACCGGTTATCACTCCTTTAAGCAGCGTCAAACCATACTCACTCACTACTGTAGCACAGCCTTAATGTGAAATGACAACACAAAGAATGCATACAGAGTAACTGTACATATTTTATAAAACATCCACGAATGTTGTAACAACAAATACATAAATGTAAAATTATAATAGACATATAATAGAAAAATACACAAAGCAGGCCCTTGGGAGTGCAGTTGCCACGGTTACGGGGCAGGGTCTCTGTCATTTCGAACTGCATAGAAATGTTTTAAAGTACCCGTCATGACCATTAGCGATCATTTTTGGGGAATATCCGAGGGAGGGAGTCTTGGCTTCCCATGAGTACTGACGGAGGCAGTTGAAGAGATTGCCGACAAAATAAAGGCTGCAACCCGTCGCCAGCTTGTCCTAAAGGGTGCACGTATATGTGGGACGCTTAAGCTGAAGACCCCCTTCAAGAATGGCGTGTCCGGTAAAGGGTGGATCGCTGGATTTTTTAAGCGCCACCCCGACATACATTTAAGATCGCCCGTACCTCTCACCACAGTCAGAGCAAGAATGCTCAATCCATCAGTGACTAAAAATTACTTTGATGAACTTGAGAAACTTGTCTACCGTCTAGGGTTAGATAAACCACACGTAATTTGGAACATCGACGAAACAAGTGTTCCGCTGCCACATAAACCAACTAAAGTTATGGCTGATGTCGGCATTAAAAACGTTCCCGGGCGTGTGGGAAACACACGTGATAATGACACGGTATTGGCATGCATAAATGCTGCAAACCATTTGACGTCAGCTTGGATTCATCTGGAGAAGGGGGAGTTGCTGATGTTCCTGTTGTTGCTGAAGCAGACAATCCGGCGACTTCTGATACTGTTACACCTGATGCCGGAGTGTCTGCTACACCAATAGCTGGGACATCAGTGGTTCCATCTACATCTGAAGCAGTGTTACCAGAGGGCGCATCTCTCCCGTCTGACACTGACTTCATTTTGTCTGTTTTGACAGGTGACACTCTGTTCTTTTGATGAATCCGGCAACTTAGTTGTTGAAATGGCTACAGTCTCCGAGGCTGCTGCAATGGACGCTATCAAGTCCCAGTTTTCCCTTCCAGCTCCTGTAATGAAGCAAAGTTCGAAATCAAATCCACGGTAGCTGACTTCCCACCGCATACTCACGAGCGATGAGATCATTAAGATAAAAGGTAGAAAAAGAGATGAGAAAGAAAAACTAGAAGAGAAAAACAAGCGCGTCTGGAAGCCAGGCAATCTCGGCAGAAGGGTGGCAAGTCAGCTTCCAAATCTAATGTTGTAAATACCTAAACAAGATTTGTTATTTGGGACCATTGTTTGTGATTGTGTGTGTGTTGTGTTGTGTGTGTGAGAGATATGATTTGGGGGGGCATCAATTTTGTACACATGCACTAGGGGGATCAGCAATTTTGTACACAAAATATTACAAAAATATGCTTAGAATTATGGGGGTGGCATTGATTTTGAACATAACATGCTGGGGTTCACGTACATTTACAAAATAATTAGGGGAGGAATCAAATTGTACAGGCTTCTCCATAAAATCATCAAACACCCACCCCAGCCATAACTTATGAGCGGTTAAACACCTATCCGACAAGCGTATGTGCTGGAGGGAATGATGTGTGTTTGGTTTACGAAATACAGTTTGTTTTGCGAAGTGTGTCTCCGTTTCGCAAACACCATTGGACACTTGCATGCTTATTGCCCATAACTTGTACGTTTCGGAAACCTAGGCTAAGAGGATAATAAACTATTTATCATGTAATGCCATTCCAGATTTATCTATTGTTTTGGACATTCTTTTACTAGCATTATGAATACAATTTTTAAGCAACATTTAGTTATTGTGTGCCAAATTATTTGCATTCATTGTTGCCAACAGAAAATATCATTGACATCGTCATACTACCTACATAAGCTGATTATGACACTCAGTCAACAAGTTGATAAACACAGCATATTGATAAGTGGAGATAAAAAAAGTTCCTGATAGGTGGCCTCATTTATATGTTATCACATCGTGGTGCCAAGTTTGATTCAGTATGATTCTAAATTGGTTTTGTGGCTGTTTCCTCAATTTTAACAGGCGTTGTACCACGCTTGGTGGCAGTCCCGTGGATGTCACGTAATGGTACTCGTTAGTTAAAACGCGGTTGTGGGGAAAAGCGCTCTATTGCATAACAATGGGAGCTCCGCCCACAACTAGTATTGCACAAAAAATCCTGTCTTCATATTAACGGCACTTACCAAAACTCTAATTGCCCATCTTGTATTATAACGGATATGTTTAAACTCTTACCTTCTGCAATGCTTTTCAGGATGTCTTGATTTTAGCGACATAAGACAGAGACCGACCGCACGAGAAGTGATGCCCGGTGAAATTTCTACTCCCATGCTTCAGTTATCCGATGTGTTCAAAGTTCACACTATTACATTCAAATGACACGCTGATTCCACCTCAAACCGTTGATGACGGTGATGCTCTGTTACTACGTCACTGCAATTCAAATTTTCCCACGGAATACGTCAGGAAGGATGTCCCCCCCACCCCCAATTTCTAGTTTATTGGTGTGGTAGAACTTGATGTATAGGCCTATGCATTTCCTGTGTTCCTGTTTTCAAATGTTTTTAGAAATACACTTGTGATTATTTATCACAAATGATCAAGTGATAAATAAATCTTTACAAGTGAGCGAGAAATATGTATTTTCAAGATTAGCTAATGTTGATCACAACACTCGACATTCATCAACTCAAGTCCATTACAGTCTAGTAAGGGCATCATTTTTGTATGTGTAGCCACCAAGTTCAGAAACCCGAAAAGAACAAACATAATAAAGACAAATTTATCTGAATAATGTTCTTGATTTTCATTTAATTGTAATTCTTATTACAATTTCTCGCGTTCTTTGAAATTGCCGCCATATTGCTGGAATATTGCTAAGTGCGGCGTACAACTAAACTCACTCACTTTTCGGAATGAAAAAAATGAAATTTATTTTCATTGTTGGTTTATTTCATTTTTTATTTTGTTTTTTGGGTTGTTTTGTTTTAGGGGGCAATAAAATCAGAAGGGTCGGTCGGGCGATGAGAAACGCAAAATATAAAAATGCTGCCCTAATAATTTGGAATGAAGGAGTGTATATGAATATAGTTTTTGAACCGGAGGTACCCCCGTTCATTATTCCGAATTTATAATTAGCCAGTAAATAGAAATTGTCTAAAGAACTAACAGCAGCGGAAGTGTCTTTCAGATAGTGTACGGAATTACAATACATGTACGATATTGGAAGAAATAGCGTACGGTATTAAAGTCACTCTGTACGAATTTAAATGACCAAGGGTAGCTTCCTTTGACTAAACGCATGGTTAAAACGGAAAACGGAATGCACAACCGGTTTACTGGGCAGGCAAGATGATTGGACAACCTTTTAAACAGCATGCGCCATGACGTAGTATTTGTGTAGGAAGCGATTCAAGGGATACCGGTGGCCAAACGTGTACGGTATTCGGAGTACTGACTCTAGTAATTTGTTTGTTTTTTTGAAAATTAAACAAAATCCATTTGCAAATTTTACATATTTAAAAGAATTGTTAGTATGTTAAGAACACAGATTTCCGGAATTCTTTAAGATATATTCAATCATGACTTGGAACGAGCATGTGCTTATGAAATGTAAATTTAATGACACAGACATAAGCAACCTTGTGAAAAATATTGTTGATGCAAACAAGTGTTCCAAGATTGGTTGCATTCGATTATGAGAAAACATGTTCGATTGCTTGGTCGTTTAGTCACTGCGACCAATCTTCGATTATTTCAATTAATCAGACCACCACTAGGAGTTACCACCACAAACATGATAAGCACCATGTTTTGGGGAACTTTAAAGTAAACTGCCAATCTGGACTTTTGTTTTACATTTCATGATAAATCACTAAATATATTCCAAATCACTTTCACCTTTCACTTAGTATGTCTGGAATCAGAAAATAATGCTTGTGACAATAATCGGGTGGTGAAAACACTAAGTTGGCCTGGGTTGTCACTCATGCTGTCAATCACCAGTCTGACTGACCCAGATTTCATTATCTACAAGCCACCATGACATACACTCACTCACAAGAAAGTGTCCATGTGTAACAAGAAGGCATAGCAGTAAATCAAAGGACACGCACCTCATATGGTCTGGGAAGTTGGGCTTGATGAAGCGAGCTTCGTTGGTCTGCCTGATGCACACAATGTGTGTTATCCCCAGGCCTTGGAGCAGGGGAAACTGAAAGTGAAGCAGGCAGGTCTACCATTAGGCAACACCTTACATATTTTCGTCATAAAGCAACACTGGCATTATTCCCATGTCAAATATTTAAAACAAGTTCATGCCCAAAAATATCTACAATATATGACTTAATCATAATGAATTCAAATTGAAAAAATGAAAATATTATTAAAATCTAAATATTTTAGATATTTAAATACTTACCTTACCATAGGTCTTATGCATATTACCTCAAGCTCTGCTTAAAGAGATCAGACAGTGGTTGATTCAAGCCATTCTATAGAACGGCCACCTGGTGTATCGACGAAAGGTGTACAGGCAACCTTGAGTGGCGTGATCTCCCTCCCGCATAGCAGCCGTCCATCAAAATCACTTTTTACTGACCAGGTCCGAAGAGCCCAGAGGGGAGGGCATCCAGCTGCTGGGAGGGTTACGCCCTATGGTAAGGTAAGTATTTAAATATCTAAAATATTTAGATTTTAATAAATTTTTAACTTACCTTACCATAGGTCTTATGCATATGGATTACGACAGTAGGGCCGTGATTGTCGGGGCTCCAGAGGACCGTCCCACGAAAAACCCACATGCCAAGGGAAAACCAGAAGAAACTACTGAATGCGCCAGACTGTCGCAGGAGGCCTGGAACAGGAGACAGATAGTAACTAAAGGCAACCCTAAGGAAAACAAATACACCCAAAGTGTAAGTTAACCTGAAGACCAGAAGGTAAGAAGTAGTTACCTAATGGGCTTGTAGAGGCGGGTGAGTTGCTGAGCAACCACCAGTGGACAAAGCGATTGAAGACCTTCCATCGTCCTCGGCCAAATCCATGAGTAATGACTAGCTTAAGACAGTAGAGGACTTCCAAAACAACCCTCCATGATGGCTGGAGCAGTTGCAGTTTCTGTGGAGAGCCATGGTGGATGCCAAACCCCTAATCTCATGCCCGGATTATTGGCTGTAGGATGAGGCAGATCTTGCGCGTCGTGGCGGTCAGGATAGTGATGCAGGCCAGAGCGCGAAAGCGTGATTCTTATTAACTTCACCTTTGGCCACAGAAGACAACGGGATGAACAGTCTCTTCTGAGACTGCCTCCTGGAAGATGACTTGGCAATATAAATCTTAAGTGCCCTCACGGGACAAAGCAGCTGTTCCTCAGCGTCATTGAGGAGTCCTAGAATGGAAGACAAAGGAGGGATGGAGAAAGATCCTATCCGGTTGTCCCGGCAGCTGGTTCTTGGCCCACGAAATCCCAAAGCAGTCCGAGATGAACAAGACCATGCAGTGACTGCTCCAAAGCGCCCCTGGTGACATCCAATGCGTGGATCTCACTAACCCCCTAGCTGCTGTGGCCAGGGCCAAGAGAAGGCTGTCTTCCTGGAGAGGGTTCTCAAAAGAAGCCGTGTCCAGGGGCTCATAAGGCAGGGACCTCTCAGATGGCCGAAACGGCAGTTGAGGTCCCAAGCCCGAGGGGCGGAGCTTTGCCTTCTGGTCCTCCAGCTTAAACGCTTGAGGGCGGCGATGAGTTCTGGCACCTTGGAAATCTTTTGTCTCACTTGACGCCAAGCGGAGTTAAAGAGCCGATAAATAAGTTCCTATAGTGTTGCCCTTGAGGCGCCCGGACTTCGAAGAAGAGAAGGAACTCTGCTATAAACTGAGGAGAAGCCTTCCAGCGGGACCTTGGACTTCTGTGCACAAAACTTCTCAAAAAGAAACCCACTTATCATCATAGAGTGATCTTGTGGAGACTTCGATGAAGCACGAGCAATAACTTAGCAACACACCCGTGGAGCCCTTGGCCTTCAAGCGCCTTTGCAGATGATCCAACCGCTGGAGATGAAACCGAGTCGGGATCGGGATACCACTGTCGACTGTGGGGATGCCTGAGCAGGTGAGGCCAGTCTGGTAACTGTTGCGGACTTCTTCGGCGAGCGAGCGCGATCTGGGAACCAGGTTCTGGCTGGCCACCAGAAGCGCGACCAAAAGCAGGCGAATGCGTCTCTGTCAGCTTGACCTTTGCTATTACCGCTGGCAACAGAACTGGTGGTGGAAAGGCGTAAGCGTCAGACCCTCCACGACAAGGACATGGCGTCGACCGTATGCCATGCAGCTGGATCTGGAATCGGAGACCGCATTACAAGCGGCAGCTGTGTGTTGGCGAGTATGCAAAACAGGTCGATCAGAGGCGGCCGTGACTGTGACAAAAGAAGTTTGAAGCAGCTTCTGGATGCTTAGCATCTACTCTGTTGGAGGCGGTTTGCCCGGCCTTGAGAGGCGTCTGCCAAAAGCGTTCTTGCACCCTGGGATGTGGCCGGGCTCTGGCGCTGATGCCATTGTCGTCCGAGGAGACTGGCCAGCTGGAGCGTCTGCTCCAACAACTGTTTGGACCTGGTGGTTCCCTGATTGTGAATCAACCACACCACCGTGGAATTGTCCGGCGCTATCAGGGCCCTGGTGTTCCGCAACAGAGAGGCCAGTGTCGAACCGCTAAAATGACTGCTTGCAGCTCAAGTTGTTGATGTGCCATCTAGCTTCGGTGCCTGACCACAGCCCAAGGTGGTCTGGTCGTCGTTGAGGTGAGCACCCCAACTTGAAGAGAGGCATCACGAACAGTTAGTGATGCGTGAACAAACTCTGTCAAGGAGACTCCTGCGCCAGGCGTTCGACTCGACAGTCCACCAGCGGTAAAGCGTGGAGATGCAGGGGCAAAGGAACCTCATCTGAAGAATTAGTCGCCTGGATGTAAGGCAACAGGAAGCTGTAGCGGCGAGAAGCATCAAAGCGACCTCTGGCGTCAAGTCCTGGGCTGAGGTGAGGGAGACCTAAGAGGACTGCCACTCCCTGAGCACGGCGGCTGGGATAGACCTCGGTTGGCCGAAACTGACAATCTTTCTCCAGCGATCTAGCGGAATCCTGACAAAAGATGCGCAATGTGTCAGGAAGAGGCCTCCTATAAACGTCAGTTCCTGGGGCGGCTCCAGGTGGGATTTGTCTATGTTGATAATCCATCCCAGTTGCTGCAAGAGATGAATGGCAAAGTGCATCTGTTTGCGAAGCAACTGAGGTCGAGTGGTTCATGAGACAGTCGTCTATATAAGGGGTCAGAAGTCGATGCCCTGAGATGGAGGAACGGTTGATGTGAGGTAATCCGAGTAAAAGCCACATGCGGGGCCGTGGAAATTCCAAATGGAAGCACTTTCCACTGGTAGTGGGACCCGTTGAAAAAGAACCTCAGGTACTTTCTGTGGCGGTGGTAAATGGGCACATGCAGGTAGGCATCCTGAAGGTCGAGGCTGGCCAACCAGACCCTGAAGCAAAGCTTGGCTCGTAGCTGTTCAGGGACACCATCGCGGAAGTGAGGCGGTTCCGAAAGATAAAGGTGGTTGAAAACTGCCATGTTGTGAATCATCGTAGTTTCCCTGAGTCCTTCTTAGGAACCAGGAAGATTGGTGAGTAGAACCCGGGGACTGTCGGGGGTCTAGCACTGTCTCTATAACTTGTTTGCGTAACAGAGTGTGGATGCTGTCTGCTAGCAGTAACTGTTGGTCTGGAGCATACACCGCGTGACTGGGGCGTTGAAGTCAGAAGCGGCGACGGCGATTGGCAGCTTGTAACGGTCCTGAGAATGTTGGTGATAAGCGGGTCTTCCAGGATTGTCAATTGGGCCAGAAGATCCCCAGTCTCCGCCTACTGGAGTAGGGCGAACCCGGCCGCGACTGGGGGGGGAGGTCCCCAGTCGTGTTGAGTCGCAACTTCAGCGACCCGAAGTAGAAAGCGCCTCTACCCCTACCTGCGAGGCGTCGAAGGGGGTCGGGGGCGATCCTGCTGGCGGCTGAAAAACAGGTTGGGATCTGCCACGGCCACGTCCTCTGCCAGAAATCGTCGAGGCGGAGTCTCTTCGGGGCATGCTTGGCGCTTCCCTCTACCCACTTGCAGATGATCTGCCACGAAAGGCCGAACTCAAAGCTTGAGCGTAGACAAAGAAACCTCCGTATTGGTAAGCTCTGCGTGTTCCTTATACACCTCCGAGATGCCGTCATTAAAGAGGAAGCGAGGCATAAAGGGGCTCTTAACAGTTTCCTTTTAAACTCTTCCTGCCAAGAACAGGGCTCCAGAAACCCATCCATCCCGAACAACCGTTGTCATGGCCAGAGCACGCCGGAGGTCGCCAGCAAATCATGCAACACCTTGCCCTGCCATTGAAACAGGGTGGTAAGATGTTCTAACCTTGGCGTGTTGTCTTCCGTCAGATCCCAGCAGCAGCCCGAAGTTGCGGGAATAGCGCTGATACCGGCTTCAACATCGGCGAGTTCTGCATCAATGGCCAACATCTTGGAGTCCTGCACTCGGTGCAGGATGCCTGTGGGAAGCCGATAAAGCGCTTGAGGGACTTCGTCATGAGCAGCGCCTCCATCGGCAAAATCAAACTATGAATCTTGTAGTCCCCTTTCGCGTGACTTAGGAGCCTTTATCGTGGTATTGAGACAAAGTAGCAAAATCAAAGCGTCCAAAGAAGCCACAGCATCGACCACCATCGGGTGAGCGGGAGGAGTAACTCGGAGAAGACCGAATAGCCGGTCGGCCGAACCTGAAGAGGAAGAAGGACAATCCGACAGTCTGTCGGCAATCCAGTCGAACACAGCAGAGAGAGGAGGTAGGTGCCCCATCATCATCATCCTCTTGCAACATTTCCTCATTATAATCCGGGAGAAAAATAAGCTCCTCCTCAGTGTCCTCCCAGGACCACGGTAGAAAACAATAAATCGTTGACCGAAGCAGCAGGCTTGGTTGGGCGCTACCGATGACAACTGAAGCAGCACTCAAAGTAACTGTCCGGAGGCGTGGGCGTCGCTGGCGGCGAACAGGAGGTGACCTTGAAGCGGGACCCGGCGGTATCGCCTACCGCGCATCGGTGACCGTGGCGCCTCTCCCTATCCTTGGAGCGTCACGGGAGGCGAGACCTTGAGTCAGACCGGCGGCGGCGAAAAGTATCGAACTAAGGCGAGGACTCCTAGACCGATGATGCTGCGAGGGAGACCTGGAGCGAGATCGTCGAGAGCGATGGGAGCGGCTTCGGCGTCCTGGCGTCGAGGCAGCTCTTCCATTAACTGGCGTTGTAGGTTCTCCTCTCTGGAACACTGTAGCCTTCCTGGGGATACGGTAGTCTGCCAAAGGTGTCGGAGTTAGGCGCTGGCGCTGGCGTCGTCGGCATGGGCGTCGGCGTCGGGCGTCGGCATAAGCGCCCGGCGTCCGCATGGCGTCGGCGTGAAACATCGGCGTTGGTTGAAGCAACAAGTCAGCAACTGGAGAATCAAGTGCCACAGGCGTCGGTAGCGAGGGACAAAGCTGAGCAGCGGCGCTGGAGCGGTGCTAGCAGGCTCCGGCAGCTGCCGGCAAAGGGGCGTCGAAGCAACTTCTGAACCTCGGATCACGACAAAGCGTCCGGGTGGGATAGAGTCAACAAAGCGTCAGGCGGCAGCTTCAGGCGTCAGCAAGCGCGCAGGGTGGGCGGCTGATCTATCACAGGAGAAGAAGCGTCCGACCCGTCACGAGGGGAGAAGACCGGGGAGTCCACAGAAGAAACAGGGGAAGACATTTTCCTCTTCCGTTGTGACAAGCGTTTCTTCTTAAGCGCTGAGGTAGGCCTTGAAATCTCTCTGCGGCGGACAGCGAATTACAAAAGTGACAGCGCTCGTCAATGGAACAGAGCAACAGTCGCACAGTCTGGGCACCAGGGGTGTGGGTCCTTGGCGAACTTCTGCACCTTGCAGATGCAACAAAACTGCGGGTCATGCACACAAAAAGCTGTAACACACAAATGTGAAGCGTAAAAACCTAGAAACAACCCCTGCAGGCGAAAAATGGAAGCACCCCTCCCACAAGAATGGGCGCGTAGAAGTAAATTGGGACAGTCGTGTAAACAACCAAGATGGCTGCCCCCACACTGAGCGAAAAAAGCGTGAAAAAACACACAATTTAGGCAAGAAAGAGAGGTACACAATAAACAAGCATGAAACAGAGGTGGAAGAACCCTGGGGTATCAAAACACCCAAACATGCCACGTGGAAAAAAACTTCGGGCGTGGGGGACACACCCCAAGCCCGAGTGAAAAACATAAACCGCAGGGTAGCCAGGTAAGTGAAGTTACTTGTAAATTATGTTCTTCACCCACAGAGAAGAGACATAAGATAGAAAAACATACATACCAATAACTTTATTATCTGAAATCTATTAGTAAGTGTCTGAAAACTTAGTGAAACAAAAACGTCTGACAAGCAAGACGCTTGAAGTAAAAGTGATTTTGGATGGACCGCGCTTACGCGGGAGGGGAGATCACGTCACTTCCGTTGCCTGTACACTCGTCGATACACGAGGTGGCCGTTCTATAGAATGGCGAATCAACGACTGTCTGATCTCTTTAAGCGGAGCTTGAGGTAATATGCATAAGACCTATGGTAAGGTAAGTTAAAAATATATATGTTAGGGATCTTTTGGTGTCAAGTGATCTACCCCTCACCACACTGCGTGGAGATGGATGCCCATATCAATTTATTCATACACATAATGTAATATTTTCTGGTTGAAATGTAGTTCTGTGCCTGACTCCTATTACCACTGTTACAAAGCAATGTTACAGGAATCTAGCAAAGAGTGACTGAGTTTGGTTTTACGCCGCTTTTAGCAATATTCCAGCAATATCACAGCGGGGGAAACCAGAAATGGGCTTCACACATTGTACCCATGTGGGGAATCGAACCCAGGTCTTCGGTGTGATGGGCGAACCCTTTAACAACTAGGCTACCCCACCACCCCATCTAGCAAAGACAAACACAAGAAGGTTTTGAAATACTAACATATAATGTAAATGATATAATGTCATAAATCCTCCTGCTTTTCATACGTAGGTTGTATATACGTTAGCTGTACATGTGTTGCATGTATCCTACAAATCTGATGTAAAAATGGGGTGTTGGTCTAAACTTACTAAAAATACAGAATATACATCAATACCTGTTTGTTCAAGAATTTTCTTTCACTTGGTTGATAGGAAAACAAACATTAACTTGTGTAATGCAATATTTTTGCACATAATCTGCCACAAAATTATGTGAGTGACAGTCAAGTAGACAGTCACTCACGTGTGTAACTTGGAAATGATCTTGATTGAAAAATATTGAGAGTGTGTGTGAGAGCGTTGTAGTGACAATGTATTGTGAGACTGTAAAAGTATCTGAGTTCCAAATCAGCCTTCTCACCTGAGACCTATTATCAACATAATTTACATACTTATGACTGGTTTACTAATTTAAATTCAAGCTCAGAAATAAAACAGAAATGCAACTGTGCTCCTCATGTTGAGTGAGTGAGTTTAGTTTTACGCCGCGCTCAGCAATATTCCAGCTATATGGCGGCGGTCTGTAAATAATTATGTCTGGACCAGACAATACAGTGATCAACAGCATGAGCATCGATCTACGCAATTGGGAACCGATGACATGTGTCAATCAAGTCAGCGAGCCTGACCACCCGATCCAGCTAGTCGCCTCTTACGACAAGCATGGGTTGCTGAAGATTAATTCTAACCCAGATCTTCACGGCTCCCCTCATGTTGAACATGAGGCAGTATATACGTGACAGACAGGTGTTTATACCTTGGACTTGGCAGCAGCACCATACGGACCGAGAAACAAGCCTGGGATTATCTCCTGAAATTAAATTAATCCAGCAATCACCTAGCATCACATGAAATGAATATCAACATGACTGTTGTTTGTTTTTCATTTGTCAATATGTTGAGAGTCCTGAAATATTGTTAAAAGTGAGTGAGTGGAGGAATATTCCAGCAATATCACGGCGGGGGACACCAGAAATGGGCTTCACACATTGTGCCCATGTGGGGATTCGAACCCGGGTCTTCGGCGTGACAAGTGAACGCTGTAACCACTAGGCTACCCCACCGCCCCTTGTTGAAAGTATATCACCAACTGAGACTCTAGTAGTTATAGTGTTGGAACATTACACTTAGCATGCTGCATAAACAAGACTAACAATACAACTTCTTATTGTATAAATGTCATGCAAAAAGATGTGCCCCCTCCACAGGATCTATATATGTGCATGAGATGTGACATGAAGCCTACCTGCATCTCTCTCCGCATGATGTATTCCCAGTCCTGAATGAAAACAAGTAGATTTAGTAAACATGGTCGGAAGTAATCTGATGTGATGTAATCATTGTCTGTGAGCATGAGTGAATGAGTTGGGTTTTTCGCCGCTTTTAGCAATATTCCAGCAATATCACGGCAGGGGACACCAGAATCTGTGAGCATGAGGTTCCCATAATAGGTTCTCAAGTGTTTTGCTGTCTAAAGTGCAGATCAAGTGGTAAGATAACATGTTTCATTGCTGTACTCAGACACCACATACTGATATCATTGCTGTATCCGGGTTCAGGCTAAAACGTCACCACAGCAAAACGGCACCTGGCGAAAAGGCACCATTTGGACATAATGGAACCTCGACTTGGTGAAAACGGCTACAAATCTTATGGCGAAAACGGCACCAACTAAAATCTTATTGGGAAAACTAGTTTGTTTTAAGATAATCGGATTGCAGAATGTTCAGATAGTAAATAGATCTACTATTATGTCGGAACTCTCAAAATTTAAGAACAAGGATGTATTTTTATATTCATGTATACGAAGTGAAAACTACTTTATACGGTAACAGCGCATTAAATAACTCAAATTAATAGTGACATTCTGAACTCATTACACCAGTTCATTACTAAAAGTAACCGCTTCCAGTAATTATAAAATCTACGTATATATTCAATGTAAGGCAAGCTATATATAACTTGATTTTCTTCGGCTGCTCAGTTCGTTGCTAGGCATAACCAACACCATATCCGAACATATTTATTATCCAATCATTTATCTGTTATTTTGTCACAGCATTTTCTTTTGTTGTCAAATTATTTCAATTATGCATCCAGCTATTGGAACAATGTACTGGAGCGGCGTTTATATAAGCCACTAGGCTTGTTCGCCTACCTATCCAGGTTTCTTTGACGAAACAAAAATATGTTTAAACCAAATACATCTACTGTGCCGACAGTGATTGGAAATGGGCATCCCATAGCTGATAATCGGATTGCAGAATGTTTCGATAGTAAATACATCTACTGTGCCGACAGTGATTGGAAAGGGCATCCCAATTTAGCGTGAAAACATCGCAACCTTTGATGTTTTAAGTACATTTACTCAACTGAAATCGCCCAGTGTCAAAATGAAATTGTATTTAAGACCCACAAATGTACCCATTGTCTACCGTCGCCGAAATACCTTAGTTGTGCGTGCGACGTTAAATAAAGCAAATAACAACAACCAATTGTTTGTTAGTTTTTTTCTATTTTGGGTATACATAACATAATATTTGTTCTGAATATACATAACATAAATTATGCAAGCTTAATGATGTTTCATTTTTTACTATTTTTATTAGAAATTTCCTGAAATTGTGTCACTGCTGTTACGAAATTTGTAACATCATTTTGAAAAGAAAAAATCCAAAGATAATATTTATTTAATGTACATATATATCAAAATATCTAGTTTTACAATATAACATGGCTAATGAGTTTTGAAATTGTATATTTATTGCTTATGAAAAAGACAAAAAAAATCAAATTGCACATCAGCCACTGGAGTTGTGACACATGCAAATTGAGTAAAATTGGGTGGTTTAAAATAAATATAAAATTATATTTTCCCTAATTTTGTTACTGTAAAGTGTAGAATAATCTGGGATAAGTTAGTTTACCATAATTTTTGTTTGTTTTGATTTTGACTTAAGTTTGTCGGATACAAACACATAACATAAATATGCACGGATTTTGAGAATGACTCATATGTTGATATAATCTTGCTAATGTTATAATGAAATGAAATAAAACATAAGTCAACGTTATACTTTGTTTTATATATGGTGTCGTTTTAGCCCAGAAGTCAGTAGCCGTTTTAACACATTGTGCCCATGTATGGTGCCATTTTCGCCAAACAAATTTGGTGCCGTTCTGCTGTGGTGCCGTTTATGCTCTAACCCCTGTATCCCAATGACACTGAGCAATGAAACTTGATAGCACTATGTGCAAACTAATAACCAATGCATACAAGTGTGTGTGTCTAAGTCTCATGGACTATATGCATAAGTCAAGTGTGGTATATAGTGCCCTTGTAATTAAAAACCCTATTTGACTGTCAGTAGACAACCGGAACAGATGCCTAAAGAAGGCATCTTCACCACGGTCACCGCAATTCTTCGACCAACGATTCTTATCAGTACTGGCATCTCTACCGGTCACTGTAGGACACTTTACAACAAAGAAAACATGATTAGAAGTTAACTCTCTTTGTAAACTGCACATTCCTCCAAAACGTCATGATAAAACACCGTTATCTTGGTAAGAAGTAAATAAAAGAATATAGGCAAACTGCATAAAGACGAATGATATGAACACCAATCTTTCTACTGGTTAACTGCTCGCGGGAGTCAGATTACCGAGTCTTTACAGAAGATAAAGGAAACAGACATACCAGCCCCTGCTCGTCCGAGTTTGGTACAGGTGGGAAATCTAGAGCGTCCATTGTACTTCATTTAACACATCATGCCATGTCTGGTACATGGTTGTTAGCCGGTATTATTGTTTTGGTCTGTAAATGACAACTGTTTCGCCATGTGATTGCTTCAAATTGTATACACATAAACTCATGACGTTTCACACATGTAAAGGTAACAATATTCCTAACAACTATGGTCAATAAGTATGTCCCCCTGTGACCTGGGATTTTGTCAACTGTTTACTTTGCACATATGTCCTCCGTCTGAAATTATAAAATTTGGACAAAACTGAAGTTTGAAAGTTTACTATGTTCATACTAGATAAATATGTTTGTTAAATGTTAGAGCCAAAATGACCCCGCATTAAAACCTCACCTCGCGAAAATGGTAGAAAATTGTCAAAAGCCTTCGTGAACGTTCACGTGGCGACATCTTATCAAGGAAATTCGGCACCGTACATCCATTCTATATTTATATTATTTTTCTTTATTTTGAGGCAATAAATATAAATGTACTGTCTAGTGTACATTTCTGATAAAATCTGCTCTGTGGCCAAAGCGTTGCCAAAAGCAGTCTTAGAATTATTCTTTGCAGTATATCACCTAAACCAGAGACCATATATACCGCCTATGGTCTCTGTCTAAACAGAAATACATGGTGTCTGTCTAAACAGAAATACACTAAACTTTATTAAATGAAACAGCTTTCGTACAGTTTTTGTATAATGTATGTAGATGATGTGTTGGTCTTGTGGCTAAAAACATTTGCTGGTAACGCCGAAGACACGGACCCAATTCCTGACACGGGTACAATAAAATATATCCCATTCTGGTCCAAACCTCACCATTCGCTCTCCCACGGAAGAATCACATCATTCATCAGGTACCTTAAAACTTCCGCCGTCGTACATGACACGCAGCCCAAGGTGAAAGGTTTGACATTTACCACGATGTATCCAATCATATAGCTCTGAAAGTGTATTCAAGGTTGAAATATTCCGACTTGCATTTTTCACTACTTTCAGCCTCGAAGGATGATCATTGCTTGACTCGTTTGGCTGGTGGTCTACGGGTATTATTTTGCGTCTTGTAATAATAATACATTACGTTGATCTGTTCCTTGCAGTCTAGGTAAAAAAAAACCTCGCGACAAAAGCCCCTTGGTACGAAAGCCCCTCAACCAAAGGACAAAAGCCCCTCGAATAATGACCAAAAGCCCTTCACTATATGTATTAATGGAAATATAAAATTAAAGACAACAAATGATTAATGACATGATTTTTTTATTGCTTCATAATATAATGACCCTAAATGATATATGTCACCTATATACTGGTCGATATGACGCAGAACTATTACCTGTATCACATCATCGATTCACTACTGTTTGTAGTTCTTGTTTGGTGTTCAGACACATCAACCTGGGTGGATGTTTCCTTGTTTATGTGTTTATACATTGATGGTGGTGTTACTGAAGTCGGGTCATGACTGATTAACCGTGGGGCACTAAGAAGCTGACAGTTCAAGGAACCACACAATATGAATTCCATTTCTTTATCCGTGGTAACGGGACATGAAACCGCTCTGTGTGCCCCATGATCAAATACCAGACACAAAGAATAAATACATTTTCGCAATTTAGTAATACAAAATAAATTACTATGTTGAAAGTATATTGGAGATATGAAACAAAAATGGTAGCATACAATTACATGATTACTTCCGAGTTAAATAAATTAATATTAAGATATTAATTAGGCAATTTATGAAAAAGCGAAACAAGAAAAGCTTATATTGCCTCAGCATATCCCGTTGTCACTCAAACATCTTAGTCTTACAAGAATGTTAAAGTGTCAATGTTTACAAAAGTACAATATAGATTGTTTAGTGGCAGCCATCGTTGGGTTTGTTGTTCTTACCGTCAGCATCTGCTACCAGGTTGTTATTGCAGTGCATATTTAGACGAGACTTCGGACCCAAATATCCAATTTCAGAGATTTCCAAATTATACTTCATTAGGTAACACACCCTCGAACTGTTCGTCTTCTTCAATGTTGTAAATACATTATAGCGGTAATACCAAAGAAAGATCAAAAGAGTCACTCACTGATGAGCAACGTTTGAGTATTGTTAAAAAACGATTACATATTGACTAGTTGTTAAGATAATGTTTAAAACAAAACGGAAGTGACGTTTTCACAATATTTGGTGCGTAAACCGCACGGAAGTTCTGCAACGCTGGACGGACTGCAGCCTAAAAGAAGCTGATATTCATGCCGCTGTAGGCAGGTAGGAGTTTAGTGTCATGGTTGCATTGTCAGGCGCATATCTGCCTCCAAATAAACATGACTTTGTACTTAAGATGACAGTTCATTCCTCACTCTGAAACAATCATGGCATTGTTTGACAAATCGTTATCTGAGTGGGACGTGTGCGAAAAGGGAGTGACAATTGTGGGGTTTTTTTATTTATTTTTTTCGAACAGGCTACAAGTGACATTCACTTAGGAGACAGAGTTACTGTCTATGTGTATGGCAAGGTTGCAGTTTACACAACGCTGCTTATAGCACTATTTGCCTGGCTGTTGGTTTTGCTTCACTGATCTTGAGTGCCTTTTCTGATCTTTGTGTTAGGGTAGCTTACTACAACTCTCAGATACCTATTGGTTATAAATATCTGTATAGTACCTGTGCCGACAACGACCCCTTCAGCATCAGTGACAGTATATATACCTTGACGCCAGTTTTTAGCGTTACAAGCCCTGTGAAAAATATAAACCATGCAAATGCAAGCAGAGACCCTTATTTAACTTATATTGAGATTTACTGCCATATTTCAGATATTCAGGAACATGTGGTTGTGTGGACATGTGCACATTGTCAGTTTTGTCTAAACAGATTATGTTAATCAAGACCAGTAGTTTACGATCAAGTTCGTTTCTTGCTGGAAATAGTCCTGCTTTTTGGAAACAGTCCTGCGCCAATGCACCAAGATGAAGTGTCAGCTTGTGTTTTTTCTTTCCACTTTCTCAAACAGTAAGAACATCACATCTAGTCCTGCAAGTTCTGATTGTAAGATTCTAACAATTGCCTACATTGGTGTTCCAGATGTGAGCAAGAGGCTGTGATGATCCGCACAACCCTGCCTAGATGACTTCTGGTGACCCCAGTTTCAACAGACCCTCTGCACTACTTCTGGCCCTATGTTGTGCGGCGGCAGTAACATCATGTTCCGCACATCTCCTCCTTCAGACTGTCAACAGCGACATTGGTGCAGAGAACTATACCTACTACCGCCTCAACCGCCCCGGTACAATTATTCTTCAATTAGAGAGCATCCAAGGTGACGCTGACCTTTTTGTCTCTGATCTCACGCTGAATCCAACCTACGATGATTATGAAGCTCAATCTGTCACTTGTGGCCTTGACGTTGTGGAGATTCCATATTACTTCTCTCGCCCAGTTGGGGTTGCCATATACGGGCATGTGTCATACGAACTCTCACAATATAAGCTTGAAATCCTACTAGTGTCTGATGAAGAGCAAATTTCATATGAACACCTGAATGCAGATGGTGCTAGCGACAATTATGGCTCAGAGTACAGTTTCGAGAAGAGAGTTCCCCCTCACTTCCCAAAAGATGTTGAAGAAGAGGAATCACCATGGTGGACTTTACTTGTTGGCATTCTTAAAATCATTGTGGAAGTTCTAATGTGAATGGCAGAATGCTAAACTATTTCAATGGTTGCCTGAAATTGCATGTCAGACCGATAATGGTTTATTAAGCAGAAAAATATTATTTTATAAAAATATGAGTTTATTTTGTGAAAATGTATCTCTGACTGTTTTGAAGATTTAAGTGATTTGATATTCAACTATTTTGCAATGACTATGTAACGTTAATGTCGACAAATCATGCTTATTAATGTAAACATTTATTTACTATCACTGCAGGATTGCCCCTAGGAATACATGATGATGATGGTGCCACATTCCCAGTCCTCAACAAGAAATGGGAATGAAACACATGCCCTTTATTCTATACTTAAATGTCAAGTCAAATACCAATAGATTTGGCCATGGTTCCCTTTGTAATCACAGTTTCGTTTGTTATCATATGACTACCCACTATGTAATTCTTTAAATATTTTCACTTTAGGATATAGGTCATGATTTATCTGTCACTTGGAAGGCAATTGGGCAAATTGTTTACCACAGATTGTCTCTAAAATTTAGAAATTACAAATGTTCTTAAATATGGTGACTAACAGTGGCCTTCACAGGGCTCCAGATAAGGGCCGTATCGGCGTATGTACGAATATAAAATAAGCAAGATACGGTAGGAAACAATTTTAAAAACGTAGCAGATACGAACCACAGCAATGGTGTTACGGTTTCAGAATCATTTACAGACGTATTTATCTGAAAAAGTATTGTTTTATTGTTTACTGACCTGTTTACGCTAGAGTAGCAATGTTGTGGTGCATATATGAAACGAAACACAAGATTACTGATCGCCATTAAATTCCATTCAGTACTCTAAATGTACTCTTATTGTTTTCCAGTAATCCTATATTGAAAAAATAAGGAGTAAGTACTCCTGATCATGAAAAATTATCTGGAGCCCTGCCTTCATTCATATTATTATTCCTTGGACCTCACTTGAAATTGTAAGTTTCTTTGTATAGACATCACACATGATGGCCTTTTTGGGTTTATCCTCCCACAACATATTTAAGACAGACTGAATTTGTTTGAGTTGTATAATGTAATCATGTAATGGTGGCTGCAATGATATGATAGATATATGAATTGAATTTTGTCATGTGTAATGACTAGGTGTTGTGACCATGTCGTTAAGAGCAATGTCATCCCATTATTGTGATGTTTAAATGCTATGACCCCCTGACTACTACTAAAACAAGTCGTCTTGTAACCATACCCTCCTACAATTACCTATCAAGCTTATGAAATGAACAGATGTCTGTGCTTTTATGACATGGGTAGTTCACTTTGTCCAGAAGTCTGATTGGAAGTTATGTTGTTATTTCTAGCACTTTTTCTACAGTATACTGGTATAAGCCCAAATGCAAGAAATGTTTTAATGAAAAATACAAGGTTATGATATTCTGAAATCTCATCCAGTACATATGAGGGGGTCTACACTGCTGTTAGACTCACTGGAAACAGCAATAATGCAGACTTTGTATGTTTGCTGTGCTCAGCAATATTTCAGCTATATTAAGGCAGAGGGCAATCTAGTGATTGACATCATAAGCATTGATCAAGACAAGTGGGAGGCTATGACATACATCAGCTGAGGCAGACTAGTTCATCCTGTTAGTCATCTATTAAGACAAGCCTAAGACCAACCCAGATCTTCACAGATTCACGTGGTATAGAGCTAGACCTTTGGTAGGACATGCTGGTGTAGGTGGTTTCTTTGTATTACTTTGTCCGTCCCATTTGTGTAGGACTTTCCTAATGTAGCAGTGCAAGATAAGGGTTGTGTATAAATGACACAGCCTAGAGGCAACCCTGCTCATTTAATTATATTGAGACTAACAACTTGCTTCATATCTGTAGCTGCTGGAAATCTAACAATCTGATAGGTATACAATGTGAATTTGTAAAGGTGATTCAGAATGAGCAGTAACAGTAGTTGTTGAATTAAATTCTTTCAAAGCCATCGGTCTTCCCTGGCTATACAGTTTTTACAAGGCCAATACTTTCACAGGTACATGGGAAACTTGACTATTAGTATTCATGAACACAGTACAGAACATTCTGAAGTACTGGGATTAGACTCTGTCATCATTTTCATGTGCTTAGTGGTATGTTGTGCATTGAATCCCCCCAAATACAAGAATTATGAACTGTATGTGAGGTATATTTGTCAGAAAGCCAGTGAATAATCAGAAAATTTGATACAAAAGTCTGAGACTGAGTGTCTTTTGTATTCCATTTGCCATTTTGAAATTAAAACTGATATGTGAGATTTTGTATCCATGTATTGAATAAAATGAGTTTATTATCAGCATGTTCTTGATTTTTTAGATTTTGGAACTACTTTCAACTTATAACATCATTTAGGAGTTCCCAAGTCAAATTAAGGACATCTTTGTGAACTAGCCGTCTTGATCCACCAGTTAGATAACTACAAGAACTGGCATTGCAGCAAAATGGTAAAACCTACTCCATGAAGACATCAGACTGGAGGGGGTGAAGTGAATATGTGGCAAAAGTACCCATTGACAATCACATGACAGGAACTTCTTCTACTGCTACCATCTAGTACTACTGGAATACAGCTAGAAGCAGTGTAAAAGCCTTATTCACTCCACCGCTACTACTAATACTAATCAATCGCAATTACACATTCAATTTCATACACTATATAATTAATTGGTGATATATTTAGTTTGTTGTTGGATTCAACATTTAATTATTTGAAGGCCATACTGAGAGCAACTTTTGTTGAGAGGTGCTTTTTGTTAACATTTTAAACCACTGGCATATCCAGTTGGCGATGGTGCAGTAGCATTGAACCCATGACTGCAGGTTCTGGAATGCCCAAGGGATGCAACTCTGCAGAGCAAACTGACAGCTGAAGGACTGATACCCATGTGTCCCCTATGATAAAAGTTCTTAAGAACATAGCTAGTGAAGATCCGGGTTAGAATTGGTCTTCAGAAACCCATGCTTGTTGTAAGAGGCGCCTAATGGAATTGGGTGGTCAGGCTCGCTGACTTGGTTGACATGTCATCTGATCACAATTGAGTAGACATGATGCACATGCTGTTGATCACTCGATTATTTACAGACTGCTGGAGTATGGTGTTAAACAACAAACAAACAAAAGCTACTGATAACAATCACTTATTAGCTGCAAAAGGGCTGATGTTTTGTTATGCACCAAACCGTTATGGAATACACTCACAATAACCATAAGACACTAAATATTATTGTGAGTTTTTATTTTCAAAATATTACAATATTTACAAGTTGTTGAAGCACATGCCATGAATGATATACTCTGACTGAAACTTATTTCTTTAATCATTTCCAGATCCATTCAGTACAGTGCTCCTGTAACAGGAATTCTCAGATATCCAATCTCTGATTCAATGTCAAAAATGGACTATCAGTTTGTACACATCCTACAAACAATGGGGAGCCTGTTCCTCTCAGAAACAAGTGCTAAACAAGGACAATAGACTTTCCAGAGAATTGCAAAAAAATATCTCAAAAGATTGTTAAATTCAAAACTAAATTGTACATTTTGTGGACCACAATTTTCCACAGTATCTTGAAATTTACAGTGAACATTAAATACAAATTAGAAAATATTAAATAATCAACACTCTTCTAAGATTTTGCTGTGAATTTGCAATTAACTTGATATTTTAAAGTTGAAAATTCAATTTACCAATTCTCACGATTTTATAGCAAACCAAAAAGAGTCCACAAATGTTTTCATCAAATTCACAGCATTAGCCAGCATTTCGAAACTCTAAATTTCTAAATATCATTTATTGCTAAACAGTGATATTGTAAGTACAAGAGTTAGGGTGGTGCACCTTTCATAGCCATAATGGACATACTGCTATATTCAATATTCATTCACATAGGACAGCTGTACTCTAACTTCTGTGTTCACACACATCCTGTGACAGACTTACTATCACTGTTGAGATCTATATCCCAGATCATATGAATGAGAGATGTACCATTATTTATTTACCAAGCAAACATGTTTCACTGTAGTCTTGACCTACAGTACTAGGAATATCAGAGCAAGTTTCCATTTTACTCTGTTATCCAATGTATACTGCTCAAAACAAATTAAAGAACACACGTTTTTCATATTAGTGAGTGAGTGAGTTAATTTTACTCCACACTCAGCAATATTCCAGCTATATGGTGGTGGTCTGTAAATAATTGAGTCTGGACCAGACAATCCAGTGATCAACAGCATGAGCATCAATCTGCGCAATTGGGAACCGATGACATGTGTCAACCAAGTCAGCGAGCCTGACCACCCGATCCCGTTAGTCGCCTCTTACGACAAGCATGGGTTTACAGAAGATCAATATTCTAACCCGGACTTACACGGGTATGTTTTTCATATTACTGTGATTCATCTGTTGTGGCAATGGCAGATTAACTATAGCTTTAAGAACAAATTGTGTAGTGTTTAACTTATTTTGACCAGTATACATTTGGTTTCTATTACCATAAATACTCCGGACCCATTTGCTGTGAAAGTTTGTATTGAGCTTGGTGCAAAACGCAAAATGTTAAAAACAAGCCGATCAGGCCAAATTATATTCCTGAGCTGAACAAATTAGTTAGAATAGGTGATGGCAGGACCAAAGGAGGCTGTGATAACATTCCCAAACTAGGTAGGTCCTGGGTATTTACCAAAGTATATTTTGAACATAGGCCCCCACTAGGGGTCAGAAAATCGATATATAAAACTAGACCCCGGTTTAGTATCCACACCCCCTACTATATAATATGGAAAGATTCATCACAGAAATATGGTGACATGATCGAAAACCGGACAATTACACACACATTAATTGATACATCGTATTCTCAAGGTCTCACAAGTATCAAAATCTTTTGTCCATATCTCCGATGTGTGTAGGGGGCATATACATGCGCTTTCCGTGGGGATGCATTTGATGGTATTTATTAAATCGCAAAAGACAGAGTTGCTGTGCCGGAAGTATACAAAACTAGGTCATCAGCGCAATCAAATTGGTTAATAAAATGACAACAAATGAGACGGAAACTCAAACGTCTTTCATCCAAGATGTCACGGTCTGATGTTTTATCTTGGTAAGAATAATTTTAAAAACGAATAAAAATAATTTTTTTTACAAACACATAATAATCCATTCATTCAGTGTAATGTGTTACCCAATCAGATCGCCGGAGGTAGTGAAGACAAGCGCTGGCAACCTAATTTTGTATACTTCTGGCAAAGCAACTCAGTCTTTGGCGATTTAATAAAAACCTTTAATAATGAACCTTTACATATTATATAGTAGGGGGTGTGGATACTAAACCGGGGCTTAGTTCATCGATTTTCTGACCCGCAGTGGGGGCCTATGATTTTGAAATAATACAAAGAATAATCAAGGCTGAAGTAGACTTCACCGTCATGACTTCACACCAAACACTTGGGGAAACTGAGCAACAAACAGGTCAGAGATGCACACATCTTTGTATAAATGGTACTGCTCCACAGTTTATATGGATACTGGAGTGACTTGGACACTAGATAGGGACTGAAGACTGAACACTTGATAGGGACTATGGGATATGACTTCTTGGTGGAGATCTGAAAACAAATAGTACTTGATATTGCCATGGAGATCTCTTGCCTCCACCAAGTACATTTCCATAAGTACTTGGCCCATCAGTAAGACACATTTCAAGTATCCCAATAAAATGAAACGAAAAGGTTTTTCTTTACAACTGGTCTACTTCAGCTTAAAAATTATAATTTTCATTCATCATATTCATAATCGTAGTTCCAACCACTGCCTCAACATGTCAAACATAGCACTTTCATATAAAAATATTCAAACAGGAGACAGCTTCCTCTGACCCACTGTAACACGCATACTTGAATCTCGATGTTACGTGATAACTGACATGCCACATCTAACCAATGACAAGCAGCTGGTGTCACGATCACCGCACTCCCCACTGATGGCATGGACGAGTTCAATATGTACACTGGGCGTTACTGTTCTTTATCCATGAACAATTTGTTTATCGTGTGCATGGAAACCGAGCCCAAAAGGTATGATCTGTGCAGTCAGGTTTGTCCACAGGGCCTGCATAACAACCACATCCATGGTAACAAGCAGCTTGCACTCTATCTGTAACCGTGGTAACCATGTAGCTCGATTGCCGTTAGAGGCTGCCACGGGACTGCTACAGATTCACTCTATAACACTCACAAGCACCTGTGCTAAATCAGTGTTATTTCCGGAAGCCCTTCAGGATGGGGTAAATATTTTCAAAAGCGTCGTAGATTTCAGTTCTCACTTTCGCACCTGAAACAAAAACATCTCCGCGTCAAATTTCAGAAACATGGAAAAGTGGGTGTGAGCAAATGTTGCTGAAAAGTATTCCAGCAATATCATGACAGTCTGTAAAGTTTCTAATCTTGACCAGGACTGGGTGGTGTGACTACAGGTTTCTCTTGGTTACTGACAAGTCTTAGGGCCTCATCTCAGCATGGTAAAGAGCCTAATGTGGAGATGAGATGAATTGGGTTTAATGTCATGCTTGAGAATATTTCGCTCATATGACGACGTGCATGCGTGTGTATGTGTATGTGCGGCTTCTTGTACTAGCCCAGACTGAAGCTGGTTTTATAGTGCTAGCCTACTGAGGTACCATGCCCGCAGTGAAGCATGAATACCCCACTCAGACACATTATACTGACTCCAGGCCGACCAGTCCTTGTTGTACCCATTAATGCCGAGCGCCAGACAGGGACCAACAAGTACCATATTTTAACGTCTTTTTGGTATGACGTGGTCGGGGATCAGCCCGCGACCTTCCGCTCTCCGGGCGGACGCTCTAACCACTACACCACGGGGGCGGTCTGCCTAATGTGGAAGAAACATGGGTAGATGACTGAGAAAACCAGAGAAGCACAGGATGTAATCATGATAATATCCAAGTCTATTTAACATGTTAAACAATGTTTTATTAATAGAGGCATCAGATTAGAATTTCCTATCCTCTCAGTCTAAGAACAATGACAGGGAGAGATGTTAGTTTGTACTGTATCAGAAATAGCATGATGTAACAAGAACAGGAACTTTTTTTTTGTATTTACAACATCTAATATGTTGATGAAAATGGCACATATTATGGTATATGTTGGAAATGATATTCAAGGTTAACTCACCTGACATTTTGTCATACAGTAAACAAGTCAGTTATTTCCACAAATAAGGACTTACCTGTTAATACAACCTTTCCAGACACAAATATGAGCAACACAATTCTGGGTTTGACCATTCTGTAGATGAGACCTGGGAACAGCTCAGGCTCGTAGCTGGAAGGAGAGGAGACACATTCAGTATTGTCCCCAGGGGCGCTGACATTTGGAATGTACTGACTGACTGAGTTTGGTTTTACTCCGCTTTTAGCAATATTTCAGCAACATCACGGTGGGGGACACCAGAAATGGGCTTCACACATTGTACCCATGTGGGGAATCGAACCCGAGCCTTCGGCATGATGAGCGAACACTTAACTACTAGGCTAGCCCACCGCCCCTGTACAGACATTAACCAAATCTATCATGACTCAGAGAAAGATTCCAGGCTTGATACCATGGTTTCGTTTGTCAAAACATGCATATCATTTACCTCCACTATTCTTATGGTGCCATGGGGTAACCTAGTGGTTAAAGCTTTCGCTCGTCATGTCGAAGACCCGAGTTCAATTCCCCATTTCAGGTGTCCACAGCCTTGATATTACTGGATGACTGCTAGAAAGCGGAGTAAAACCACACTCACTCACTTTTATTCCTTAATGTACCAACAAACTGCAAAACTACCAATCATCAGCTCTTTGGGTAGACATTCTCTCCACTAGACCTTGACTGTCATGGTGCAACTCTCCCCTACAAGCAACACTCTACTGACCTGGAGAACTGACTGTGTGTTAGGACCAGGCCCTCCAGTCGGATGGGAAACTTGACGTCACAGCTCCCTACCATATTCTGAATCTTAAAGTCAAGGAACTTGGCCTGAAAACAGAAATTACATGGCACAACTTGGCACATGCCATTCATTCTAAAAAACATAACTTTTTGTCTTAAACGTAATATTAATAACAGCAACTTCTCACTTATTGCACTATATCCACAACAAGCTGAAAGTGCCAACAGTAGGGTGTAGTTCAGGGAATGTCATGTCATAATGACTTGGTCTTTAGGATTAGTGGACATTCCATGTACACTGGGCTGTAAAACTCAAGCATCTGGCTCAGTAGCACTTCAAATGGCACAAAGGCAAATCGACTTTGAATAAATATGTTAAAGGTTCTTGTAGTTAATTATTTTCAGTCTGTGTATGCGTTAAAATTATATATGTATTCCTTCAGTTGATAGTGACTGTGAACCAACTAAGTGGCATCTTAATCACAATGGTTGTGAAAATCTCACTTGAACTCCTTATCAATCTCACTTGAACTCCTTATCAATCTCCCCTGCAAATATAAATATACTCACTGGGAAGCCAAGTTTCTGGACAATTCTGGCATATTTCCTGGCTGCCAGTTTAGCTTGTTCTTCACTACAAATATAAAACAGTAGACGATAAATACACAAAAACTGGACCAGATTACTGGAGTATAAGACAAAATATTATGGATGTCAAATTTTAAGGAGTTTACTGGAGTCAAATGCACATGCTACAACTGAATACAAGCATTTTAACACATCATTCACAGCCAACATAGAACCTCGAGGCTACGTCTTTAGTCAAAACACAACATTGTTTAACCAGAATTTTTCACTTGCAAGACTCATGTATGATCTGTTTATGACAACTGCCATAGAAAATCAACATGTTGTCATTTGAAAATTGAAATTTAACTCCTCTTCTGGAAGGTCTTCTAACGTCTGGGACAGACACCAAATGATGAAGTGTACTATTCTGAAGGTCAATTTCAGACTCCATTACTTCAATGGCATGTGTAACATATCTAGATTTGGTGAGAACACAACAAGCCTTTCCAGACTGTGGGAAGAATCTGTAGTTCTAATAGACTGGTGCTACTGACACTGACAGAATATGTATCAACATAACTCACAGAGTATCTGGACACAATGTAAGTAACATACCTTTTGGCACCTGTACACACCATCTTCCCTGAACTGAAAATGAGAGCGGTGGTTCGTGGATCTCGTATCCTCATGATGACGGCAGCAAAACGTTTGGGATTGTACTCAGCATTTCTGGCTTGTAATGCTATCTTTTTCAAATCTAACTTGGTGCCAAGGTTGACTGTACAGACAATATTCCTGAAACAAACACAGAATAATTATCATAACACATTTCCTAGCCCTACAAATGGCAGATGTGATACACTTCTTCTGTATGTGTAATAGTTCCTTTGTCTCCCACATGTTTTGCATTTTAGTGTGTACTAACATGGGATGAGAATGACGTTTTTAGAAAAACTCTGAAAACTAGCCGGGGGTCTGATGGCCGCGGGCTTTAGACGATTCACAAAAATGACCCTTGGCCTTATGAAATTCCCGGAATTCTCATCCCAGTACACAGTAGAGGATGGTAAGAAGAAAGTAAGTGAGTATGGGTTTATGCTGCCTTTAGCAATATTCCAGCAATATCGTGGTGGGAAACCAGAAATGGGCTTCACACATTGTGCCCATGTGGGGAATCGAACCCGGGTCTTCGGCATGATGAGCCAACACTATAACCATTAGGCTACCCCACCGCCCCGTAAGAGGCAAGGGGAACCAGTAGTAGAGATGTAGTGTATCCATGATTGCCATAAGAAACAAGTTACACCTTTTATGTGTATACTGATCATGCTTATGTTCAAATGCTGTATACATCATCATGAATATTTCAGCATTATTAACAAAGATTTTGATAACAATGTGAAAGACAGCACACGGCCATGTGACAAATAATATAATGGACAGAACAGAATGCCAGTCATATCATGGCATGCTATCATAATCATGTAAATATTGGGGAAAATCCAAAAGTGAAGCAGTTTGCCACATGTTTATTACCCATGTGTATGGTCTCTTCAGAAGGAGGATATGTACTTGGGTACATTGAGAATTAGCATCCTCATGAGGAGCTGGGTAGCTAAAGGGATGTAACTCTGCACAACTGATGCAGGATAAAAGATTCTCATGCTAAATGCAACACAATTCTGAAGGTGCTCATTGAACAATACTAAAGGTCTGAAACATCTAAAGCAATAAATTGTGTCACAATGACATTTATACATTGTACTCAGCGATCCACAGCATCAGTGTTCTAAATACAGGCTAGGAGATGTGTCATCAAATACAGGTTGTTTAGATCAATATTCACTATGTCGATCACTGGATCATCAAGTCTAAATATGATTATTTACAGATCACCACCATAGAGCTGGAATATTGTTGTGTTAAGCAACAAACATTGTTGGAAATTGTTAAATTTAGAAAACCTTAGACTAAATCATAGTCTCTGAATCTATATAACTTTGATAGTAACAAATAAACCCATTTAACATGTTTAAATTGAAAGAAGCCCCAGGGAGACCAGAGATTCAGAACCCAAGGAGATCTATGCTTGCTTATTTAGCATGTTTAGGGTGCTAGCACTGCAGGGAGGGCTGGTCAGTAGGGGAAATAATGTGGTTCTGGGACTGTGAGACAGACTCGAGCAATGCTAAATAAGCAGAATAATGTAGGCCTTGTTTGGAGACTAAATCTTCTTGAAACATGTTGAATGAGCACTTGATCTTGTTGATGGCCAGCTTTAACTACAACTATTTCATACAGATACAACTTACAAGGGCACATTAAACAGCAGCAGTATATATGAATTGTGTCAGGTCCTCCCTGCTTGTAATGTCCCTGGCCATAATGCCATGTTTTTCGCAGTGCAAAATTCCCCGAATTTAATCCAAAAAAAAGCATCAAGGCATACATTGTCACTGATCTTCTGATATTGAGCTCAGTTTGTTTATTTGCTTGTTGTTTCATGTCACATACAGCAACATTTCAGCCATATGATGGCAGTGCTAAATATTAAAGCCTGGAACAAACAAACCAAATTACTACATGTTTTTCTTTATTTTGGGTGTGGATTAACAAAGATAACAGGAACGTTTGATAAATGACGCTGACCAATTATTTTTGATGATTGATCGGTTGTAATGGACCAATCATCAATTATGAGATTTTAACCAATTCCCAACACTAGCTCACACCCCAGCAATGAATATACTAGTATATACTCTGTGTTTAAGCTCCTGTGGTCTTAATGCCACACTTGTTATGTTTTGTATGTCACAAATATTAAGACTTACTGTAGCTGTGGTCGAATGCCTGACCCTTCTGATGCTGGTGTGGCTGGAGTTCCAGGGGTCATGGGACCCCCTGGGGTTGGTGGGTATAAACTGACATTTGAGGGTGGGAGCATAGGGTTGGGTGTGGCACCCAAGCCATATCCACTGAGTGCTGGAGACAGTAGTGGACTCTGAAACAAAAAGGCACTTTTAGTATTTACATATACAAATACAGTAAGTAAGGAAAATATCAGACCATATATATCAGACATACTTGAGCAACCAGATGATTTATGGTTGGTTGGTTGTTGTTTAACTCCACACTCAGAAATATTCCAGCTATATGGCGGCGGCCTGTAAATAATCGAGTCTGGACCAGACAATCCAATGATCAACATCATGAGCATAGATCTAGGCAATTGGGATATGATGACATGTGTAAACAAAGTCAACAACTGTAACCACCCGATCCCATTAGTCGCCTTTTACGACAAGCATTGGGTGCTGAAGACCAATTCTATCCCTGGTCTAAACGGGTGAGACGATTTATGCAAAGGCATAGGTATGACAAAAATACTTGATGTAGCAAATCTGTGGAAATCTGCAGAATTCTGTGGATTCCCAGAAAATTATCATCTCCTTATACTTACACTTATCATTTCAGGAATGGAAGTTAACTATGTTTACTTAGTGACTGAAATTAAGAAGTAAGCATAGCAAGTCCAAACTGTGTAAATTCTGGCAAGAACAATTTTAAAAATTACATTATTGCTAAGCTAAATATCACAAAATAGTTTTTCTTTACCCATCATGCTCAGGAACAAATCATCTGTGAAAACAGTTGGTCTGTCTCCAGATTTCAGAGACCTGTGCATACTACCAGGTAGCAAGTTAATTAAACTTTATCTCATGTTAACCAAAAAAGGTAATGAGTCAATTAAGTAAATATGTTTTACCTTAGTCATGAATCTAAAGAGCTGTTTTATTTTGTAATATTAGGGATAGGACAAGGATCGCTTATCTAGGGTAAGGGTCTCTTTAAGATCCAATATATTGAATACAATTTACAATGGGAATAGTTATTTGGGACAAGGCAAATATGGCTAGCTAAATAGGTCAATAATAACAAATTTTGTTGACATCTAAATTATGTCCAGAATGCTGTTTTGTTTTAGCATAAATGTATTACCACTCACCAGTGACAACAAATATGTTGATTTCTTTTGGGACATTTATAGCATTTTTGCTCAACGTAACTTCATTGATCATGTTGATATATTAGCAATAATTCAAAAATATGTAGAACCAATTGTCAACCTCTTTGATCTGGACCTGTCCCAAAGAACAGTACGTGTCTCCCAATTATCAACTGTCCAATTGTTTTGTCACATTCTTTGAGGATGAGAGGCTATCAAATAGGACATCATACCTGTGCTTGTTGTGGATTTGGAGTCAAGCCAGTCCCATAGGAGGGGAAACCACTGCCGTCCATCATTGTGCTTGGTTGGACCCGCAGTAATTATCTCCTATATTTGGGTCGTGTTGAGGCTATTCTTGCACCCCTAGTCTCCAACGATGACTACAGCACACTCACTTACAATATTGAATCGTTTTATAAAAGTGCTAAACATATCAGATCAAATCCATTTCGCAAGTGTTTTCAACATGCCGGTTCACACGACCCAGAGCCACAATCTTCAGAGATCGAACAACCGTCTCATCTAACTCCCACTGTCTCACATATGCTCATTTGGTGCCCTGAATAGTTTCAGGAACACAAACTCGGACAATAAAAGCACAAGTTACAGTTGTGTGACACGCTGTTGTCAATTCTTATTGCGCGAAATTGCATGCATTTACACCGGATGATAGATATGCTCCAGTACAGCGCGTGCTACATGTTCGCCATGGACTAAAGAAAGAAAATATTGCTGTAAAATACACGAGACCCGTGGTGCGGCGCGCAGCTAATAACGAATGCCAGTCCAGAAACTATCGCTGTTCGGAGTTTATATGCCGCTTGTGGAAAAGGAAATGTAATATTTTTTTCAGGCCTTAACATAAACAAACTCTCGATCGTGTTTTACATATTAGATAAGAAGAAACCTATGCGTACGATAATGATGAAAACGTACATGGATATCATTAAAACAATTTTGAGTATGAGACATGCGACATTGACTGGTTATGCGGCAAACTGAACCCAAATCCCCACTCATCATAAAATTGTAGTACAATAGATGCGATGGGATTAACTAATCTATGCATTATGTATTCACTTGTTAGGGGCAATGGGATGAACTTATCTGTGCACTAGGGGTATGTTTGGAGTATGCTGGTCAGTAAGGTCATGAGAATGTTTTTATATAATGATTTCCTGTGGTTTTCGAGATGGGACTCAAGATGAAGTGAAAGTTTTCACAGCAATTAATGATTTCCTGTGTCCATCAGCCAATCTAGCAAAAGGCCACATTACTGTATAAACTTCTCCAAGATAAAATGAGATTTACAATAATGTATAAATATTCTGGTAAAATGCTGTCAGATCCCGAATTCTGAAATGGAATTCATTCCGAATAACTGTGGAGGCCTGAAGCTCTGTTTCGAGGGGTATATGTATACTAAGCGCTTCACTAGAAAAACTCGTACCAGATGGGAATGTTCCAGCAGGATGGCCTTTGTAACCACTGATATAGCCTGCAATGAAATCCACTCAACAACGCCACACTCTCGTGACAGCAGTGAAGATAAGGTCAATGCCACCAAAACACTATCAAATCAAACGCTTCTACCATTCGCAGCAAACCCGCCCAACTCATCGCTGATGCCCTACAGCCTTTGACTATTCCAGAATGAGCAACTCTTGGAAGAACTGACAGCGTCAAGAGAACCATCTGCAACAGGGATCCTTACCCAAGGCACAACTACACTCCAAGAGTTTCAACCAGACGACCACTGGAGGGACACAACCACAGCCATTCCTCACCCATGGTAGTGTCCCAGATTAGGGATTCCAGAGTCGTTGTGTTTGCCACACAAGAATCATTACTCCACCAAGCCTGTTCTAAGACATGGTTTATAGACGGAACTTTTTTTTGTGCCCCTGCCTTGTTTCACCAACTGTTCATTGTGCGAGCTCCACTGGGTAACACTTCTGTTACATGTGTTTATGGATTTTTGACTGGCAACTCCCAAGCACTGTATGAACATTTCTGAACAAGTGTCAGGAACTAGGGTTTGATGTTGACCCATCACTTATTATTTCTGACTTTGAACAGGCAATCTTGAGAGCATCTGCATCAGTGTTTGGTGCTCACGTTTCCCTGAAAGGATGTTTTTATAATCTGACCCAGAACACTTGGAGACAAGTGCAGAATCTTGGGTTGTCTGAACTCTACAAAGCAGATGAAAACATTAGAACCTACTGTTGGATGCTCTTGCTTTCCTACCTGTCGATGACGTACCAGCTGGTTTGGACTTCATCAAAGAAAGTACTCCAGAACAACTTGATGAACTGATTGCCTACTTTGACTCCACCTACGCAACAGGATCCCTCGTCGAGTCCGGTCACCTCCTTCAGTTGATGGAACAGTGCCCTTGATGTGTGTTCTCCGTGTTCCCCCACTATATCCTCCTCATCTGTGGAATGTTCATCAATTAAGCAACCATCGGTGATGGCGACCGCACCAACAGCCTATGTGAGAGCTGGAACTACAGTTTCGGCCAGCTGGTAGGACACCGCAAGCCCACTGTGTGGAGAGCCATTGAGAGTCTGCAGAAAGATGCCGCCAACGTCCTCACAGTTCTTCATCGAGATGCAGAAGGTCGACCTCCAGCAAAGCGTGTGAGAAAAGCAACACGAGATCATCAAGCTCAGTTGAAAACCCCGTGTCTTGCCTACAATGACAATCGAAGGACATTAGAGCAGCTCCTGTTATCATTGGCGAAAAAGATTCGCCATTCCAAGTGAATTTCAAGTTAATCAATCTGACAATGAACTGAGTGAACTGATTTATATTATTATATACTCCCCATCAAAAGTTTAGACTCACTAGTGTAAATGTAGCCACTTACTTAAGTCAACTGTTCTAAACTAGATTTGGCAAAATATTCCATATTGTTTAAAGGTACTGTTTTGCACATGAACTGATGTATTGTAAAACAAATTCGCCATGTTGAAAAGTGGGGAATTGACCTACTGGTTACAAAACAGGTGTTGGGAAATGTCATGTGGGGAATAGTCCTGATGGGAAATTGTCCGTAGACTGCCAAGTGGTTCCTCGACCGTGACGGACACGGGGACTGGGCAACTGTCCACCTTGGCAGAATTTCAGATTGCAGATGGTATGGCGACTAAATCCAATTTGATTATATTTCTGTGGTATTTACCTCGACATGTAATCATGTATCGACGTCATGTCTTTACCTAGGACATTAAAACATATTCTTTTAATTTGTACATCACATAGACATTGCTAGAAATGGCATTGTGTAATCATTGCTAAAAAAGTCTAAAAATGTGCTTAGGTAAATAGGTATACATGTATACAGTTTTAAAGTTTAGTACACAGCAAATGCTTATATGTATTTTTCATGTAACAATGAAGTTCATGTCCTCGAGACAGCGTTGACCCCACAGTTTTTAGGGAATAAAAATTTCACGTGACACGGCGATTACTACTCCCTTGCTGTTGCCCATGTTTTTGGGCATAAACCTACACCTGTTTATTTGTCATCATTCACTTGATGGTCCGTTAATAATTTATAACAGGTATAATTAGTGGTAACACCACTCAGATTACCCGACAAAGGTTCCCATGTGGCATTTCTGGTGTCTGGAGTAACATTTTTAATTAAGATCAGATGTGACAAAAGTATTACATGTTATATGTGCATGGAAGTGTAGCAAGCGGAATTATCTGCAGTGTTAAAAAGAAAAACATCGATAAAAGGATTAACCGATAACACGTTGATTAATTAATTACTTTAATCTTGCACAGCGGATTTCTCAAAAGGTTGCGTTTATATCTGTAGATATATTGAATACACACCCATTCTCTCGTAAAGCGCCTGTGTAAAAACAACGTATTTGATTGCTCATTGTTTTTTTAAAGACTCATGTAAATAGTTGTGCTATCTTGGGCGACCAATGAGACTATACACCACTGTGAAATCCCTTAAACAAAGTCACGGAACCTGTTGAGAAACTATGACTAGCTATAACGTTATATACAATTTTTCCATATTAGACTGATAAAAGACATGGCATGGAGCAGGTGTCTTTGTCAACTGCAAAAGGACGGCATATCGCGTTCTTTTATGTGGATATTGATGGATACATACATTCCTCGAAAAAGGTAATAGCCTGATATTATTGCTATAGTCGGTTGTAATTTTGATAGTTGTATTTTGTTCTTATTCATTCAACAAAATCATTCCACTTAATTCTTCTTCGCCGGGAAGTTCTTCGATGCAAAACAGACAACATGCACTAGGTCGCTCAGCGGATCCTGATACGATTTAGAGACAATTCAACAAATGAACTGCAGAGTATTTGACAACATTTTAGATTTCCATTTTTTTAAAATTGACAACAAAATGTCGTATTTAGTGAAAGAATTTATTGAAAATAAGATTCAACACAACAGAAAATGAAAAACAGCAATGTACTATGCACACAATCGGGTAACGCTGTCAAATTACAGATATTGACAGTACAATGGTACTATTCCGGGGTAGGGTGGAGGAAGGGTGGGGACTGAAATCAACGGAACATGGAAAAAGAATAACAAACACGTTTGTACATTTTGTACATCCATGTGTACACAGCCTCTGAAGGCGTCTCAGCACATCTCTTACAATGTTCCTGGCTAAACAGGGGCGGTGGGGTAGCCGGGTATCTGCACATGACGCACACCTTTAGGTTTCAAACTATGCACATGAGGCAGACCTTTTTTCCTTTGATGTTCACCGATCTGGTCTTGCAACCGATTGGTGTTTGTGTAGTGGCTTAAAGATCAGATTTCTTGATTGACTAATTAACTGATCAATCAGGTATCACATATATGAGTAGGTATTCTCCTACACTGATCCGTGTTCAAAGTGACACATGTCACTTCATCATAATAGTATGAAAAGTGTTCATTGGAATACTACTTAAGGAATTAGCCGAGTGGTTAAAGCGTTCGCTCGTCAAGCCGAAGGCCCAGGGCCCCGTTTCACAAAACTCTCGCAAGCCTAAGATCTCGTAACTTTCCTCGTAGCATTCCTACCTCATATACTATAACATTGACTTACGATAGTCATGGCGCTACGAGAGCTTTGTGAAACGGGGCCCTGGTTCGATTCCCCACATGGGTACAATGTGTGAAGCACATGATATTGCAGGAATATTGCAAAAAAATAAAAACGGCCTAAAACCAAATTCACTCCTGGCTAAACATGGACTGTTGCTGGTATAGGTTGTAAACGTTCGTTCATAATGTGCATATATCCCACGTATGACAAGTATGTATGCCTAGTTGCATTTTTTAAATGTACTTCCTTATATTGTCAGTAGAATGTATACATCCAGAGCAGCATGGCTCAACTACGTCTGTATATATCCATCCTCCTGACAGGCAAAATCAATTCCTATCTCACATGGAGACGCTTTACCAGACATCTAAATACACCAAAACTTATATAACATATGTTATATTTGGAATAAAACTTCCTTAGTAAAGTACAAATACTAGTACTTTTTGGGGTTGAGTCCCATCGGGGATTCGAACCCACACCGTCAGAGTCAGGCACTAAATCGCCAGCACACCAAAAGTTATATTTGAATTCCAAACCTGACCAAATAAATGTTTTTTTAAGAATGTCACTCCATACTCCTGACAAGCAAAATCAATTACATTCTCAAATGTAGACCATTTACC